GATTCTTATTAAGTTGCAGAAACAGCAAATTATTACAGATATCTAAACATTTAGAATAATATAATTGCTAGAGACAATGCTTCCTTTGAATAAATGATGATAATGTGATAGTTAGTGTTGGATTATTTGTGCTCATAAGTATACTCTAAATATAAGAATGATGAAACGGAATAGATAAAAAGTTGATACCAGTTAATATGTCAATTTCCATCAATGATCTGTAGTATTTAATATATAAGAGAAGCCAGTTTACATTTCAGAGAATTATTGCTGCTGTTCTTATTAAAATGTTTTGCAGCTAATCCTCATTTACCACAGTTGGGACTGGCAACTGCATTGCTAATTTCTCCTTTAATGTCTGCTTTTGCTTCTTCTTTCCCACACTCCTATTCTTTGGAATGCTCACTCTGGCCCTGGACTAATAAAACAAGAAGGGAATTAATGTTTGTATTTACATATATTAGAGAGGAAGATATTACAAGAGGGTAAGCAGGTATCCACTGGAGAATTCACATTGGAAGCAATTTGGCTATGCAGAGAGTCTGGTATATTTACCATTGTGTGCCTTGTTCTCTTGTAATTCCTTTCTCTCCACTCTGTGAGAAACATAGATTAGGTACAGGAGAGATTGCCTACAGAAATACTTTGTGGTTTTTCTCCTTCTAAAATATAATTAGGATCTTGAGCTATATGTTATTTTAATTTTTTTTCAATTTTTTTGGTATTCATTGACTACAATTATATAACATTTGGGGAAAATGTGTAATTTCATGCAGATAAAAACAGATTACTTGATTAGAACTTGGGAAATGCTTCACATCTAAATCCTTATAATCTTTGCTTATAAGGAAGTAACTTTTATAAAGAATTAATAGTATATACAGTACATATTAATGGCTGTATGTGCTAATCTGCCATTTTACCCATATTGTTATCTAGATTTTTGAGAGAATATTGTGAAAGAGGTACTTTCTCAGACTTGGATCTCATTGACAACTTGGGTCCATCCATGTTGCTTAGCGATCGACTAACGTTTCTTGGTGAGTGATTCCATCTTTTTTGCAGTAGGGTTCCATTTTGTTTGGTTTGGGAGTCACACTTTCTTTTTTTGTCCTGACTAGAAGCTGTTTAGAGTGGTTGGAAGTAGAATTTTTTAAATCCTTTAATTTTGAAGCATTCACTCAAACATTAAAGGTTCCCACTTAAAACTTCCAAAACTGAAAAACACCAACCTCACAAATATCCCTCCTGTTTTCCTGAACTGGAAGGGAGGGTTCAAAGCCTCAGATATTATGCTGGGCAGGGACAGTACGTTGCCCATGATTGAGAAACAGTCTTTGATCGAAATATTTTGCTTTGATTATATCAGTGTCTTTTTCTTGCCTTTTCGAAGGCTATTGCGTTAATAATTTATATTTTGTTATATTCTCTCCTAGTTAGCACAAACCATTGCAGATATTTTTAAACACAACCCAGTAATGATTTATCAGTTTGTTTGCTTGTTTGATATGAATGGGATTTGAGCTATTGATTTAAACTGATTTTAGTTACAAATGCCTTTTCTGTCTTTTGCTGCCACCCAGAGCAATTTTGTAGCATAAAATTGCTACACAAATAAATAAATAATACAGGACAACTTTTTTGCAATTGTGTAGGATCAAAGATTGAGAATTGATGGGTGTTCTAAATATGAAAGGACTGCCTTAACATCTTTTACAGGAAAGTACCGGGAATTTCATCGCATGTATGGGGAGAAAAAGTTCTTTGCAGCAGCCAAACTGTTATTAATGCTGATGACAGCTCGTATTGCTCCTTGCTCCTTCTGGATGACTTTGTTGACCGATGCACTTCCTCTTCTAGAACATAAAGAGGCAAGTGCGGTATTTCTGTAGATTATGTATTTTTGTTAACTGATGGGAGTTGGTGTTGAAATACAATACAGGTAGTCCTCAATTTACAACAGTTCATTTAGTAACCGTTTGAAGTTACAATGTCACTGAAAAGAGTGAAATTTAACTGTTTTTCAGTTACAACCTTTGTAGCATCCCCACGATCGTGATCAAAATTCAGATGCTTGGCGATTGTTTCATATGCATGACCGTCGCAGTGTCTGAGGTTCATGTGATTACCTTTTGCAACCACCTGACAAGCAAAATCTCTGGGGAAGCCAGATTCACTTAACAAACATATTACTAATTTAACAACTGCAATGATTCACTTAACAACTGTGGCAAGAAAAGTCGTAAAATGGGGTAAAACTCACTTAACAAATTTCTCACTTAGCAACATAAATTTTGGGCTCAATTGTGGTTGTAAGTCGAGGACTACCTGTATACGACATGAATTGATATCAACTAGGCAGTGGTATTAATCTAAACTAAGATAGACAACATTGAGCCAAAAATTGTGTGTTCCTAAGAGCTTCAGTGCTATATTGTTACCAAAATTCAAATAATGATGGTAGAGCACAAGTCTCAGTAATCACAAGAATATTGGTCTAAAAAGAGTGTGTGTGTATTGCACTCTGATTGTTTACTCCTTCAAAAAGGGGTTTGTAAGTAGAAGAGGTTAGCCTTGCTGCAGATAGGTAGGGTCCATTAAGTTTGATGCCTGCTCTAAAATGAAGTTCATGATTTGATTCAAATTTAATTTGTGTGTGCCAGTTTCTTAATTCTAGCAACATTGTTTAATGGAATCTTTTTCAAGAGTAGATGCAGGGGTGAAATCCAGCAGGTTCTGACAGGTTCTGGAGAATCGGTAGTGGAAATTTTGAGTAGTTCGGAGAACCGGCAAATACCACCTCTGGCTGGCCCCAGAGTGTGGTGGGAATGAAGATTTTGCAATATCCTTCCCCCAGGAGTGGGGAGGGAATGGGGATTTTGCAATATCCTTCCCCTGCCACACCCACCAAGCCACGCCATGCCCACAGAATTGGTAGTAAAAAAAATTTGGATTTCACCACTGAGTAGATGAACAATGTAAATAGTGATCTTCATCTGGTCCTGCCTTGTAATATTTACAGGGGCCACAAAAGTAAACAATCCTTGAGTTCATAACATGTTATATTGAATTTTTCTTAAAGATAAACATAGAACAAAAAAGATAAAAGATTTCAGGGTTCTCTAGCTATTAATGGGATAACCATACATGCTTAGGGTTCAAATCTGCCATAATATCAAATTTAAAATCCCACTTCCAAAAATAAATGTGGGGGGAGGGGAATTGCCATTAAATGAAGCTTACAATCAATTTTCTGCAGGTGATATTTTCTGCTGATCAGACATACGAATTGATGAAATGCTTGGAAGATGTGATGGCAGCAGAGCCAAAAAAAGAGAAGCTCCAGGTAATCTTATCTAAGTACGCTGTTTTAAGGGCCTGATATATTACAATTTCAGGATGTGAGGACAGAGCATGATTTAGCCCCACTGTAATTTAGAGAAGTTATTGTTTTTGTTGAGATCAGTGCATTGGGGGAGAACATTAACTCACAAATTAAGGTGAATATACGTATCCCAGGATAATTTTGCAGGATCCAATCTGGGTCGGTCCCGGGATCAGAGGTTTTGTCTTCCGAGCTTTTGGACTCATGCTGGAGCCCATCCTCAGGGAACTTCTGGGTGTGCTCTGGGCTGTTCTGTGTGCGATATTTATATGGTAACACACCCATTGACGGGAGTGCTGATTTACCTCCATCTTATCAAGTACTTAAGGTTCGGGGGAGGGGCTTGACAGCACAAGGAAATTAAAGCCAATGACTTAATAGCCAGCCATCAACAACCCAATCTACATCTAAAAAGCTACACACAACAGCCACCATATAAATACCACACACACAACAGTCCAGAGCATACAGAAAATTTCCCTGTGGATGGGCTCCAACATGAGTCCAAAAGCTCGGAAGATAAAACCTCTGGTCCTGGTGATGGACCCAGATTGGATCCTGCATCACTAACTCAATTATGTGTTTTCACCTCTTTGTATATTTTCCTTATGTCTGTGTAAGGATACACTGAAGGTAATTGTAATTTTGATCTTGTTAACTTGACTAGATTGCTTTGTTACAAATCTGCATTTTAGTAAAAGCTGAAACTGGGAAAAGCGGTATGTTTTGTGTTTAAAGAACAGATTACCCTTAAGAATTAGTGGTATATCAGACAGAAAATTTGTCCTTTAAATCAAGAGGATAATCCTTCTCATTTCAGAATTTTATTGCTTCTAATGCCTGCTTTTCCTGGTTGTGTTTCATCCACTGATTCCTTGAAACCTGTGGAAAGGAGCATAAGATAAAATATTTTTTCAAATGGTATGAAAGTGTTACCAAAAGCCCTTCCCAGCACTGCTTCTATACAATTCAGGATGCTAGTGGGAAGGGTGTGTGTGCTTTTCATTGTTCTGACCAAGCAATAAAAATAGCTGCAAATGCTCTCTGGGAATTGCAGAGAATTACTGATGTCTACGAGAGATGTGCAGAATATTCCACTGTTGAGTGGATTGAGAAGGACCAATCTACATAAGTTTAATGCATTTCTGGAAGTGGTTTGTTATATTTTGGATATGTTCTGAATGAATAAATTTTGGGTTCTTCCTCCAAGACTGATGAGCAAGCAGCTTCGTTCTAAATTAATGCCATCCTGAATATGTATTGCATCATGCTAAATTAATATTTAAGCTGGAACAGTTTCCCCAGTTGTGGAAGAAAAATTCTGAAAAATTCAGTAGCCTTTGGGCTATCTTTTTAGGGATTCCACTGAGTTGCATACTAAATATGAGAAGTAATGTGGCCATGACTGTGTAGGTATACTCTGACTTATCAAATATTCTTATATTTCTAAAATTGATTCAGGTTATGTTATTCAATTCTTTCCCCCTTTTTTCTTGTTTCTAGGATGATGATGCAGAGATAATGAAGGTGGAAATGCTAAGACTTGCTCTGGCACGAAACTTAGCAAGAGCTATCATTAAAGAGGGCACACTGGAAGAATCATGAGAGCGGCAAATTAAAATAGTTCTTAAACTTTACTTTGTTAACTTAGTGTACATACCAGGGTTGTTATTATTTTGATAAAAATAAATTTCATATTTTGCATTTATTTTCTCTTTCTTTTTGTGGTAAATTTCAAGAAATAAACTCAGGGTTTTTGCAAACTGAGACTTTTACAATCTTATAAGATGAAAAACCCATCTTGTCATTAAAATAACCCAAATTGTTTTATTCATGCAAGTTGAAACAAACCATTTCATTTGCTTGTTTTAAATCCAGGGGCAATCTGATCTCCTTGCAATAAATCTTGATTTCTCCTTACTCAAGAGTTTAAAAACAAACCAAAAGATATTTGTCTGAGTACATATAGTAGTTGATATTTAGCTATATAGCTTTCTGTATACATCACAGCTACTGTAAAGAAACATGTAGGACAGGTTGTTAATTCCAATAATTTTCAGACAAAAATACATTTTAGTATGAAGTGGCTGCCAGGTAGCTAAAGCAGAGTAGAGAAAGTATTTTTATTGAGCGTGCAGAATAACAAATGCTTCTGAGATATATTTACAATCTTGAGTGTTTGATAGAAAGCTGCAACTTCAGCCTGTGAACAGGAACATTCATAAATAATTTCTAAAGCTTGTAGTAGTACATTTCCACACAGTGAGACAATGAGATCTTTCTGTTGGATTATACAGCATGGACAGAGTGGCACTGCTGATAGCATGAAAGCAATTTGGCAGAAAGCCCTTGTGCTTTGTGTGTGTGTGTGTGGTTTCCTCAATTGGAGTGATTTGCAGACCATCAGTGAAATCTGCTCTGTACAAATAAGTATGGCACTGGGGCAGACTTAGAAGCTTAAGTAAAATGCTGATAATAGGGAGACTATAATTTTAGAGAGGACGAGATCAAGAGCAAAAAAAATACTGCTGGGTTCCCATCAGCTTTACATAATTAATGTGGCCCTCATACCATGAGTTTGGCTAATCGGGGACTATCTTCTCACACACTTGAAACTGGATCCCTTCAAAAGCCAATGAGGTTCTTTCTGTTGTGACCGTTAACTATCTTGTCTACAGAAGCTTAACGTAAAGAAGTCACAGCCATTGTAACGGAGGTCTGATCGTCCCACGATCTCTTTAATACCAAAATTTAATTGCAAAATTTTAAACCCCCCCACAAAAAAGTCCTTGGTTATAGTGTAGCATAGAGTAGATTTTCAGGGCCTTCTCTTCACTAGGGAACAAAACGATTTGTTCCAGATGAGCACATAGTTAAACCCAAACTGTGTTACACACAGGAGAAAGTAGTTACTCGAAGCAGTAACTTCCCTCTATGGCTTTTGAACCGTATCGTGTCTATCACTGTTTAGAAAAGCCTGCCTGTCTCAACATAAAAGATCTCTCTTCCTATAGACAATTGCACTTACCCACCTATTATCTAAAAAGAATAAAACTGGAGTGTATCATCCCTGCACATGCATGGCCATGGCTCCTCTTTTCCCTGGTCTGCAGATCTGGTACATTCCTATAGCTTAATATACATATCATACTTTTAACTAACAATAGTGCCTTCAGGAGATGCCTCAGATCCTTAGCTCCATCACTTCCTCCTTTGAGCCCAATTAACAACTGAACCTGAATGGATGCTCCTTCTCAATACTATTTGTATTTCCATTGCTCCATGCTTCCCACTTGAGCAGTGTATAAACTATATGTGGATCTTTAGTGTAGCTAATTCACAAAAGAGAGACAATTGTGTACGCAGAGGAAAAACAGAGCTGTGTGCAAACAAAACTCAGCAGCTACTGGGAAAGCATACAAGCAAGTCAGCTACAAGTATAAAATTAGAAGGCAGCAACTTGAGACCTGTGTGTTGTTCTCAAGTGGCAAGTGTAAAATATCTGTATGGGCTCTGCTGGCTCTTGGAACAGATATTCTGTAAATGGAGTGCTTGATCATGGCAAAACCCACCATTTCTTGGAAGTGTATCTTATTGCTCAGCAAGCCTAAAGGTTATCCTAGTTCTGATCTCACAGAGGTAAAAAGAATTGGATACAGGAAGGTCATTAGGACTCTATCCCAAAAGAATTTGTAAAGGCATCATAGCCCTTGGTAGACCTCTAGCCTAACTGAAATAATGTTCCAGTGTATTCAATTTCTGCTCATCAAATTCTCCAGAACATTTATATTTCAAGTTTTAATGAAGTGGAAGATAGAGTTGGATTGGCCAAGGTAAAGAAACCAACCAGGTCTCTGTTCCTGGCTGTTCCCACAAGTGTACACTTGGCATTTACGCGCCAGACTATCGTCCCAGAGTGCAGGAAACATTCTGGACTACGGCTACAAGTGGAGTGGACGGGACATGTAAACAAAGCTAAATATCACTAACTGATACCGCCGGTGCCTTTGTCATGTCGCATTCATTCCAGTCCCCATGAAATAGCTCTGGGTCATAGCTTTCCCCAATTATCAACTGGAGGAAACTGGTCTACTTCCCCCACTTCGGTGCTGGGTGTGTCTCCCAATGTGAAAGTCAGTCGATACCTCAGCCTCACTTTCTCCTGCAACGAAAAAGGAAAACCAAATATAGCAGCCAGCCACAGAATACAGAGTAAAAGAGCACTTACATAAGAGTACATGATGCGTGCCACATCAGCCTTTAAGTCAGGGGTGGGGAGCCCTTGGGTATCCTAGTACTCTTGAGATTTTTTTTTCTTTCACTCAAGTGTGTCCGATTCTCGGATAAAAGGACTGATTTTTGGTGGGATATTTTCCCCCCTTTTAAATCTGCTGCCCACCCCCTCCCCAAATGGTCCATAGCTGCACTGATGAAATTCTACCATATGGGCAGCAGAAACTAGTAGCATGATTTTGGCCTCTTCTCCCTTAGTTTCTAAGGGCTTTCTGTTCATAGTCCCACCCCTAAAAAAATGAAAAAGCCAACTCTACCCCACCCACACACTTTCAGTTTAACATAATTACTAATAATTACATAATTACGGTGATATTAACAGTTCCAGTGATGCTACAGAAAATTGAGAGGTTGAGGTATGTCCCCTAATTTCACAGATTTACTCAAAGTTGTCTCAGTGAAGCATGGGGGGGGGGAAAAAAACAAAGTCTAGCAGAATTAAATAATACTTAATGCTCTATTTCTTATTTATTCTAACCTTGAAAAGTATCGAAGTCTGTTTGCTACCCATTACATCAGTCCAAGAAAACAGTGATGAGACATACAAAACATGACCCGGTATAAGGAAAATGACTATATCTTTTAAAAGGAGGAAGAGGATCTGGAACACAAGTCTTCCCACCTTTCTAGGATTTGCAAGCAACATGACCTGGGTAATAGCAGCTGGTGGCTTGATGGGATTGAATGGAACTAACTCTGTCCCTGAAGGTGGCTGCAACTTTACTTTCATGGACTGTAAGGAAAACACCAAAAACAAAAGTTAAGACAATGCCTGCTTCTGTAGAAATACTACTAGACACCTAGCACATTTGATTTTCTAAGAGAAGGCCAAACCACTCAGCTGTCTAGTGTAACTGCCTTCATATAATTAATTTAGGATCAGCTGAGGAAATTCTGAGATTCAGTGGAAATCAACATTATCCAAAGACGTCCTAAGGCAGTAATTGGGAACAAGAAGCCTGTAAACTGGTAACACAAAGACTCTTGCTTCTCCTTAGGAGCATCTATCTTTGATTTAGCCCCGTGATCCAGAGAGATTCCTTGCTGGGAAGTCTTAGCTTCTGCCTGCACCAATAAAAGAATTCTACATTCTTCCTCCAGTTGGTTCTTAGCCAACTGTTATCTTCTTTCCCCCACCTTTGGCACCGCAGCTTGTAACACAATATTCTTGATAGGAAGAGGTGCTGTGTTCAGCATCGATACCACCACCACCAACACGTCAGGCCGCCCGGGAGGACACTCCTTTGCAAAGTGCAGCAGAATACGCAAACCGTTCTTGTCATAAGCAGTCACGGGAAGAACACTGCCTGCAAGGCGAAGGAAGTCTTTACATGGTAGAAAAGCAACATGCCATCGATAGAATAAACAGTATGGACTTTGACAGGGTGACTGTGCCGTAACAAAAGTTGCAACCTAGCTTTCAAACTTGCATTCCATAGCCAGTTCTAATGAGATGGTTGTTAAAAAAAATAAAAAAGCTGGGGCCTCTATGGGGATCTGAGTTTCCCTCTCCCCTACTAGATGTCAATGCTATCACTCATCCTTGAGGAACGCATATCATTCCTGAAGAGCAGACACGCTAATCATTCATAAGGATTACAGCAGCTCATGCTCTCATCTCATGCCTGTCAGTCCTATGGGGGCAATTAGACTAAGAAACCAATGCCATGTACGTCAGGACTATTCTTATTCAACAATAACAGAGTGAAATTGAAAATTATGCAAGATGTTCCAGAAAGAGGAGGTCTTAAACTTCCAAACCTACAGTTATATTATGATGCAGCAGCTTTAACTTTAACAAGTGATTGGTTTGGAAGTAAAAAGGCTGGAATATTGAATGCAGAAAGTTTTGATCTTGAATTTGGATGGCATGCTTACTTATTTTATGATGACAAAGTTGATAAAGTATTTAAAAGTCATATACTTAGAGACTCTTTGATGAGAGTTTGGAAGAAGCACCGACTCAAATGGGATTATAAAATACCGCTATGGCTGGATCTTGGTCATACTTTGTGGAATACAAATATAATGTCACTCGGGCGGTTTTTATACAAAGAGGTTCTTTTTACAGATGCGGGCAGATGGCAGCTGAAGACATTGCAGACACTGTTGGACGAAGGGATTAATTTAACTTGGTTACAATATAATCAATTACAATTGAGATGGAAAGAGGACCAAAAAACTGGTATTATGTTGCACGAGGAAGAATTGGTTAGACATATAAAAGAGAAAGGTCCAATGCATATCAAAAGGCTTTATAATGTTTTGCTAGAAAGGGACTCAGAAACTGAATTAGTTAAAGATTGTATGATTAAGTGGGCACAAAATTTTGAAGAACCAGTGATGTTGGAAACATGGGAAAAAATTTGGGTTCAGAATGTTAAATTTACACAGTCGCAGAACCTGAGGGAAAATTTCTATAAAATGTTTTATAGATGGCATTTAGATCCCAAAAAGTTGTCATGTATGTACCCTAATGTTCAGCCAAAATGTTGGAGATGCGAATGTTTGGATGCTACGTATTATCATGTTTGGTGGACCTGTAGGAAAGTTAAGGCTTTTTGGATAAAAATTTGGTGGGTCATGCAGAATGTTTTGAAGAAAAAAATTCAATTCTCTCCACAATTGTTTTTATTGGGTATAGTTAAGGGTTTTACATCGGGTGAAACAAAATTGATATTGTATATGATAACAGCAGCAAGATTGTTGATAGGTAAATATTGGAAAAATGAAGCTTTGCCCACTATTGAAGAATGGACTTTGAAGATGGCCAGTTTTGCAGAGATGGCGAAGATTTCAGCATACTTAAAAGATTGTTCACAAGAGACTTATGAATGGGAATGGAAAAGGTGGATAGAATATGTTCAGAACAAATATCAAACTAGAAAGTATCAAATAGCTTTTATTTGAAAATAATGTATTAGAAATATTTTAATGTAATGAGGTAAAAAGAAAAATTATACAGGGGAGGGAGGGGTTCAAGTTTACACATAAGTGTCATATTAAGGGGTGTTTTTTTTGTGTGTGTTTTTTTTTTACCAGTTATGAGTATATTATAGGGAAGTCTGGGGGGAGGGGAGGGTTAGGGAGGGTTAGGGAGGTTGGGGAGTGGGGGGGGGGGGGGGGGGGAAAAAAGGGGTGAAAATGTAATTGTAAAACTTTTGCAATAAAAAAAAAAAACAATAACAGAATCTTGCAATCTCAAAGTGCTTCCCACTGTCCCCCTTTATCTTCATGTGAACCAGGGAGAGGCTAGTCTGAAACAAACTCCCAAGTTACTTTCTAAGCCCTTTTTATTTGCCTGTTGCTTTGATAGCAGCTTTTCCTCCTCCTTTAAAAGCCATTCCCTATGCCCTCTATACATGTAGGTCTCGCCTTCATTTAGTGACTCTTCGAAATTACAATGGCACTGAAAAAAGTGATTTATGACCTTTTTTTTTTTTTTTTACACTTACAGCAATTGCAGCATCCCCACGGTCATGTGATCAAAAATCAGACACTTGTTAACTGGCATGTATCTATGACGGCTGCAGTGTTCTGGGGTCATAGGATCACCTTTTGCGACTTTCTGACAAGCAAAGTCAATGGGGAAGCCACATTCACTTAACAAGTGTAGGGATTCACCTAACAATATTGGCAAGAAAGGTCATAAAATGAAACAAAACTCAACAACTGTCTTGCTTAGCAACAGAAATTTTGGGCTATTGTGGTCGTAAGCTGAGGACGATATATAATACCGTTCTCCCTCCTCAACCCCCCAGTATTGTTATGGCTTGGGGTCATTCTCCTTTCCTACCATAGGTAAACAGAAATGGTATGTAATCAGTCCAGCAGTATGTAAATTTCATATAGCCTTGAGCCCTAGTGATGCACTATTGCAAGCTAATTGTGCCGACTGCCAGCAGTTCGATCTTCACCGGCTCAAGGTTGACTTAGCTTTCCATCCTTCCAAGGTCAGTAAAATGAGGGACCCAGATTATTAGCGGCAATATGCTGGCTCTGTAAACGGCTTAGAGAGGGCTACAAAGCACTATGAAGCGGTATATAAGTCTAGGAACTATTACTATTGCTATTTTATCCAAGAGTCCAACACAGCGGCAGCCATCAGCCTGAATGCTAGGGGCCTAAATCAAGAATAGGCATCAACAGATCAAAATATGACTCTAGAGGCATGCAGTTCAGTGTTGTGGGTGGGGTAGGGAATCTCGAGTAACTGCATGTGATTTGAACCTGTGTCCTTAGTGCCACTATCTTTAAAATAAAGTCCACTTATAGGATGGAGAAGGTTGGAAAAAGTAATGGAGAGGTAGCATAGTCTGCCTAACAGAGAAAGCACTAAGCCTTTTGCATAAAGCCAAGAAATAATTCTTCAGTTGAGTGTTAAGATTCAAGGACTTAGAATGTCACGCTTAAAGAGTCCTTAGTGTCACTGCAAGAGAAAAGAGGCTGCCACAAAACCTAAATCAGCAGCTAATTTGGTGACACGAACCAGGCACTCTTCCCATGTCTCCAACCCACCATCCTCAATAAATGGCTCTCACTGATTACAAATTTAAGGATAAATGTTGCAAAAACATTAGCTGGACAACACTTATTTTTCTAAATTTCTCTAAACAGATAGAACTACCTCAAAAATAGCATCACTTTACTATAAATTTGTTCCACCAAAATGTTTAAAAAAAAAGAAAACCTGTAACAGACATTTAGTGTCGAACTGCAATAAAGAGGCATTGGAGTACATGCAGCATTATTTCCAGCATTTGCTCCCATGATAAGAGGCTTATGTTTTTGGAAATTAAAAGGATAAAGCAGGTTTAAAAAGACAATCATCCACACATTCATTACATAGAATGAAGGACATCACATTTACACAGACAGAAGGGACGTGAAGAACTATGTTATTTTTTTCTGAGAATAAAAATATGCATCCTTTACTTCACCATTAAACAGATACTGGCCAGAAATGACCCATACTTGGCTTAATTGATTCCAGTGGAACATGGACATTGGCCAAGGAGATTTCAGGTCCTTTCAAGGGACTTCCTTGTTGCTGGAACAGGGCTGATTGGAAGATGGGACTTCCTGGATATGGAACTGGAGGGACTCCTGGACCAGCGAGCGGCAATCCTGTAGCAGATGCCAGAAGTGCAGAAGTAGCAGCAGGGACTGTAGAGGCTGTTACGGCTGCTGAAGCTGAAGGCCTGAAAGAAGGATTGCAGATAATTACCAAATTTATGCACAGGCTACCATATTTCCCTGAAAATAAGACCCTGTCTTATACTTTTTTGGAACCCTGAAATAAGCGCTTGCCCTTATTGCCATGTGCTCAAAAGCCCAATTGGGCTTATTATCAGGGGATGTTTTATTTGGGGGGGAAACAGGGTAATAGTAACACTGATTTATTTAATGTATAAGGCCACCAAACTGGACTCAAGGCAGCTTGAATCTAAATTTAAAATATAGACAGGACACCTATTGTCACCCTGCTCATGTATTGTATCTCCATCATATTCTTAGCTGGCGAGGAAGATGATGGAGAATTGATCCCCATAATCTTCCCAGTAGCACAGGTGCTGAACACGTTAACAGGAAGAGTAAAAAGTCACAGCACTAGAATAATGGCAATTATGTTATATGTGGGATCTCACTTACACTATCAAGATTTTGTCTTGTTCTGAAATTTGGTTTCAATATTAATTTACCTGGGCTAGTTTGATATGTAGTTAAATAATTATCATTTTACCCAAGTGCATGCTGTGAAATAGCAAAAGGGTTGATTTTGCCTAGACATGTTATGTGCACGTTACATTATATAATTTGTTTGCCAGTTTCTATGGCTTTATTTTTGCAGTGCAATCATGACTGTATAGTATATCTTTTTCGAGTTGCCTGTAAGCCACCTAGAAATCCACTGTAGATAAACATCTGTTTGTGAGTTTCATAATTGCAGGTAGTGCTTGCTTACCAATGGTATTTGGGACTAGGAACTCCAATGCTAAACGAAGTGGTCATAAGGTACAATTCCACGGGATTGCACTGACATGCAACAGCAGTTCTGACAACCCCAGTTGTCATTAGGGAAACACCGCATGATCTAAGCATCCCGCAGTTGCACAATCACCATTTGTGACCTCCTGCTGGCTTCCCTAATGACTTTGTCAGAAGTTGGCAGTAAAGGTCGCAGATGGCGCTCACATGACAGCAGAATGCTGTGATGATGTAACCGTAAGCCAATTTCTAAGCGCTTTGATCGCAATCACATGATCATGGGAACATTGCAATGGCTGTATTATGAGCCCTTCTCATTCAACACCATTGCAACTTCAAATAATCACTGATTGAGTGGATGTTAAGCAAAGAATACTGGTAGTCCTCCACTTATGCAAATTGGGAGCTTGGCAATTAGCTCACATTTATGACCGGTCACGGCCTCCTGTGGTCACATGTTCACAATTTGCGACCATCCCAGCCCGTTTCCAACAAGAAAACATCATTTAACCATTATGAAATTCAATTAACGGCCATGATAAAAATGGTTGCAAAATTGAGTCCAGGCATGTGATAACTCACTTTTACTACATCAACTTACAATGAAAATTCTGGTTCCGACAGAAGTTATGAATTGAGTACTACCCTGTTTCCCCCAAAATAAGACATCCCCTGATAATAAGCCCAATTGGACTTTTGAGCGCATAGCAATAAGGCCAAGCGCTTATTTCAGGGTTCAAAAAAATGTAAGACAGGGTCTTATTTTCTGGAAAACATCAGTATCAGTACTTGCAATTATGTGCCAAGCCCAGAGGCTTATTTTAAGGAACCATTTAGTAAAATAGTCCCAAATATTGAAAATTGACATTAAAGGTAACTGCCCTCCTTCGCCATTTTTAATTTAAAAGAGAGGAAGAGCCATTATCAAGCAGAGAGAACAGGCTAAAAAAACAAGACAAAACCCCCTTACCCTTTGTTTTCCTCTAGAAGATGATTTAATGGGTCTATCTTGTGCAATTCATTCGTTCCCATTGCTGAGCCAAAGTAGCCTGAAGCTACAGGCATTGTACTTAAAGGGCCAAGCGGAGGTCCCGTAGAGAAGATGAAAGAGGTTGAGGTAGGAGCAGAGATACTGGAAACAGGCTGAGGGGCTGTGAAGGTAGAAGGAAGAGGTACTGATGCTCCACATCCGGGCTGTGACACAGACGAAAGAAGCGGGTTCACTGCAGAGTTGCAAGGAACAGAAACTGGCTTTGGATTCAAGAAGTCCAGATCTACTGGCTCATTCTGCAACACAGGAAAGAGATGTACCACTGCAATATTTCACCTCTCTTCTGTTATCACATTCTAGAATGGCCTTCATCAGGCGGGGCGTATTCCTCTATACCGGGGGTGTCGAACTCGATTTCATTGAGGGCTGCATCAAGGTTGTGTTTGACCTTGGGGACAGGGTGGGCGTGGCCAGCTTGACGTCATTTGTGTCAGGGGTGCCTGTGGTGGCCTGAGCGCTTGGCCAGCAAAAACGGAGCTCAAGAAGCTGCGACGGCCTCCTGCAACTCTCTGCGTACGGCCCTCCCAAGCTACGTTTTCACTGGCAGAGGGTTGAAGGAGGCCATCGCAGCCTCCCGAGCTCCGTTTTCGCTGGCCGAGTGCTCGGGTCACCACAGGCGCCCCTGACATGAGTGACATGGGTCAGATCTAAGCACCCCACGGGCATTGAGTTTGATACCCCTGCTCTATACAAAGGATGAGGGGAAGGGGGCCAAGGGCCCAACATCTTAAGAAGGCTTGCCTCATTATAGAAATCCTTACGGAAAATAAATCTGATCTGTATCTCCTACGGAAAATAGGATGCTGTTCATTATTCTAACACTAAAATAAGCCAGAAAAATAAAGGACAATTCTGTTTAGGGCAGATTCATTCTGGATACTTTCCTAAAAATCTTCTGAAGTATAAACAGAGGAAGTTATGCAGCATTTCAAATTTAATTCAAAAATGTGCCTCTGAGCACAAGAAGGAACAAAGAGGGCACCTATCTGTAACTCTTTATAGCAGGGTTTTCAAACTCCCGGCCCGGGGGTCGGATGCGTCACATGCTAGCCACGCCCGGTTTAGCAAAGGGGGAAAAAAGTCCCAATATGTCATGTGACACCATCGTGATGACGCGAGTTTGACACCCCTGCTTTATAGTTACAAACCTCAGGAAAAGATGTGGTTGTTTTAAAGAACTGCAGATAGGTGTTGTATTTTATTTATTTACTATGTAATATATTTGCTGCCCATCTCGTATCCAAAAACTCTACATTTACCTGCCTGCCAAATTCAGTGCATCTCTTTGGAACTGAATCTAAATGGCTGCACAGCCCTAAAACCTAGTACAGTACAGAAGACAAAATACCTGGAGCAGATTCCACTGATTGCTTTCAGTTGATTCTTTTACTACACTTGGAACAGGGTCATTGAGGCCTGAGTGGGGGGGAAAAACAGTATTAGGAATGGAAACAATAAACGCAAGTCACACTTTAGTAGGGAAAAACTTTTAAGTAAGCTGATGAGGTTCCCGTGAGAAAGAAGCGTGCAATATTTTGCATTTAGGTTGTGGAAACCCAAGTACAAATCCAAGTTTAGGTACATTTTATCCTGTGGGGTCTTGACCAAACCCTTGTTCTCTAAGACTGTATCCAAGAGTGCTGTGTTGTGAGATGAAGGACAGAGGTGGGGGTGGGGTTGGGAGTTAATTGCAAATATCACCCTCTCCCTGACAGATGTCATGCTTACATTCGGCTCAGCGACTCTTTGAAAACCTGTCAAAAAATAGACATTGGGCCAATTCACACAGCCATTTCTTAATTTTTTTTTTTTACTGCTCTTTAAATACTGCACAATGATTATTGTTTAGACTGCATTTGTTACTCAACAATCAGGAGCAGAAGCAAGCAGGGCAAGTTACAGATGTTCTTCTGAGAGTATGAGTAACTTTACTGCTCCCAGCTCATTCAAACAAATAAATACTATTGCATGCTTTCTCAAAAGACCCCAGTGTAATCTACCCGTGCAAAGGAGGTATATTCCAGAGCCTGTCTGTGAGAGAGCATTGTCTCAACCCAGCAGAAAAGCCTTTTCTGTCATGGTGCCTTTTCTCAGAAACATCACTCCCCCCCCCAACAAATTAGACCTGCTCCAATTCTAATGCTAACCTAACTTTGCTTTCAAGCCCAGAGCTTGGATAAAATGAGTGAGCTTGTTTCATGGCTAATTTGAGTGTTTATGAGTGTTTTCAGATGCCATTTTTATGATATTTTTATTGTTTTTTTTATTCTGCCTGTTTTGTTTTATATGCCATTTTAATTGTGAGTCACCCAGAGCAGTGTAATATGAGATGGTTACCCTATATATATTTATTAAATACACACGTACATACGCTATCCATGGACACTACGCAATTACTGTAGATCAGGGGTGTCAAACTCAAAGCCCGTGGACTGAATTTGGCCCATGGGGTGCTTAGATCTGGCCCACGGGGCTGCTCTCAGAACAGTGAAGGACCAGCCCGCAGTCCCTCTGCCAGCAAAAATGGAGCTCAGGAAGGCCACGACTCTGTTTTCGCTGGCAGAGCACTCGGGCCACCACAGATGCACCCAATACGAGTGATGTCGAGCTGGCCATGCCCCCTGGCCACGCCCCCCCGAGGTCAAACACATTCCTGATGTGGTCCACAATGAAATCGACTTTGACACGCCTGAGGTAGATACAGCAGTTGGGAAAAGAGGAGTCATAACGTTTTCCATTTAGCTTATGGCGTTCCGCCTCTCTCAGTCTTTCGTATCTCAATATGGTGGCAGCATTCAAAATAGATTACTATGTTGCCTATGCTGTCTTCCTTAGCTCTCAGTGATAATCTAGTCCAGAAAACAGGCTTATTTAATGGATTGTGACGAAGACTTTCCATTGTCCAGATTGTGGAAAAAGTATCCACGGCAGCAGCTCCCTAGCGCCACATTAAACACCATCAAACCGCATCCAACTGACCTAAACACAGGAGTTCCTCATCAAGCAGAGAGAAGGAATTGGCTGCACTAGTTGACTGAGTAGCAATGGATTCAGCATGGCCGATTGAATGACTCCGGGAGTGACCAGTCGCCTGAGGCGGGGGTGGGAGGATGGGGATTTCTGATAAGGCTGGAGCTGGAGTTAGAGTTGGTGTTGCGTTCAAGGCTGACGGAAGAAGTGTTGGTGGTGGTGGTGGTTGTGGTGGCACATTCAAAACCTCCAATTCCCCCAAATCAATGAGGGTATTGACGTTATCAGCAGAATTGCTTCCTGGAAGGAAAGGAGAGAATTGAAAAAGATGCCAAAGGATACAACAGTTTTCAGCAAATACATCACAATACTGGAGAGTTGATTTTAAGCAACAAGGGCATTGCTTTAATAGTTGGATACTTGTCCAAGAAATCAAGAGTCAACTCTTAAGGCAGGTTTCCAGCCTTGTCCATTTCTTCAAGAGACAACAGCTTCCTTGTTCCCTAATTCCAAAAAGCAACTGAAACTTCCATGCCAAGAGTATATTAGGTTGCATTATCTTCTGCCATGTTTTGGCCTGATCTGGGAATGAGCTTTCTCTCTTGTACCTGACACCTATTTTTTGTCGTTCAGCATTACTGAGAAATGTGCCCTATTATTATGAATATGGCTAGGAATATTCAAGTTCTTACATTTGTAACAAAAATGTAACAAAAAAATCTTAGGGCACCTTGAAGGCTAATGGGTTTTAACGGTTGAAGCTTCCATGGATTCAAATAATGGCAAGAGAAAAACAGATCAAAACCCAATGGTAAATTTTCACATACATTTTTATATACAACAGCACAACCATAGCTCATAGATTGCATACTTTGATATTAGTTCCCTCATTCATTACTATTTTGCAGGGACCTTTGGATTCCAATAGAAACAAAAGAAATTCCAAAGCTTGAAATCTGCCTATCTCACAACTAAAATTCACTTTATCAATACAACAGTGTTATTCTAAATCAGCAGGAATATGGACTTGTAAAGGGAATGTCTGTAAGCAATAAGATTAGCAGAGGGAAAAAAAACCAGGGAAATACAAACTGACAACACTGAAGGTTAAATTGTCTAAAATAATTATGATTATCCATCAGTTAGTCTTAATAGTAACCTATTATGGGAAAAATCTATTACTGTGATGGAGGTCATTACGGATAGAAGTAACTTACTTCCTAAACTTGTAGTTTAGGCTGGGATTTCCCTTTGAAGTTCTCGGGTTTAAGACCAGCCATTACATGGGAAGTAATAATGTTTTAGGAGCCTGAAATGTTCTCTTATCAGTATTTCAGTATGACTGATTCTGATGTGTATTTATACTACGGATATTAAAAAAAACCTCCTTCCAAATTGCATACTATTTTAATATTACATAAAAGAAGAAGCAGAGTCATTAAAGGAACAAACTAAGTATCTACTGAGAAATACGATTCACCTTCTGTTGTAGGCAGCATTGAAAGATCTACTTCACCATTGATGACTTGACCTTCAATAATTTTTTTGTAGGAATTTATTACTCGTGATAAGTTGTCACTAGCCTGAAGAATATCTCCTGTAAGGGAAAAAACGTATAGCGTAGATATAACCCACTGAGCTTTCAAGAATGCTTCTTCTGTCTAGAAACATTATCAACCTATCTTTGGGATAAGTGTCATAGAGCTCCTGGTGCCATAATTCTTGCCATAATTTAATATTGCATGTAGGTGTATTATTATATTGCATTACTGCTATGACTGTTGTTTCTTTACACAGGTTACGGTTGCCTAAAGTGGTTCATGTAAACAAACAAACAATCAGTCCATCTGATTCGTGCCATTCTAACAGTATGCTCTGCTGACTAGCTTCATATTTTAGGCTTTGAATATTCAGAAATGTGCTATGAAGAACTGGTATATTAAAGATAACACTGCCAACTGAGTTTCATTTAAATATACTGCTCAAAAAAATAAAGGGAACACAAGCAGAAGACATCCGAGATCTGAATGAATGAAATAGCCTTATTAAAGACTTTGTTCTTTACATACAGTAGTTTATACACTGCTCAAACAACTAAAGGGAACACAAAACTACTGTATGTAACGAACAAAGTATTTAATAAGGCTATTTCATTCATTCAGATCTCGGATATCTTCTGCTTGTGTTCCCTTTATTTTTTTGAGCAGTGTATTTTTTTGTTTAATTCTTATGGTTTAGGCAGCTTCCCGAAACTGACTGAATATAATTAGCACCTGTAGAATTAGCTCCATCTTCTAATATTCATCTATGGCCGTGATAGCGAACCTGCCGGCCAGCTGGTCTTCACGCACGCGGGAGCACAGGAAACTGGAAGAGCAGCCGCCCGGTGCGCATGAACATACCGCCCAGCTGGTCTTCCTGCACGCATACATGCCAGAAACCAGAAGAGTAGCCGCCCGGTGCGCATATGCGCACCACAAACTTAAAGATCATCTTCCCGGCACGTGCATGTGCACCGGGCGGCTGCTCTTCCAATTTCCATGCATCCATGCATACCGGCCAGGTGGTCTGTGTGTGGGCATGCACACCAGAAACCGGAACACCAGGTGGCTGGTGTGCTTGTGCGTGCCAGAAACTGGAAGATCCTCTTCCTGGCGCACGCATGCGCACCGGGCAGCTGCTCTGTTTCTGGCACACATGAACGCGCTCCCGTGGTGCCAAAAAGGTTCACCAACACTGATCTATGGTATATTAAAAAACCTATCATTTTAATCAAGCAATGTGCAAGCTCATAATTTAAGCATCACATTTAAGTTATTTTAGAATAAACTTCATTTTTTAAAAAAAAATAAGGAAGAAGTCACACACATACAAACATACCATTTTTTTATATATACATCTATCTACATTTTATATAGTTAGCTGATGCTGAAACAAATTTTCTATCTACAAAATGAAAATTATATCAGTGATCTTTTTTTCACCCCAATCACTTGGCGTATTATCATTTCGTTCAATGCTTCCAACATATATTGCTCCCTCTTTTCCTTTCCACCTTATACCAAGTGGAAATGAGTTTGATAGAAGGCAATTTAAATTGGCTAAAATGGACTGTAAAATGCATGAGTCCAGTGAGCAGTGAATAACAAGTGAACATATTCTTCCTTATCAATTGTAAACTCTTTGTTCACTTCGTAGACAATTCGGAGTCCTGGCTAAGGCTTTTGTAAAAGAACCTGCGTAATTTAGTAATTTAGTAATAAGAGTATCCACCATTTCATGACTTTTCATTCTATAATTCTGTCATCCCTTCAATGCTGACCAGGTAAGGAAACCAAAGTTATGAAGGCTAACTTTCTGTTTTTTATAAAGTTACAACACGGGTGTTAAACTCATGGCCCATGGGCTGGATGCATCACGCACTGGCCATGCCCACCCCTGGTTTAGCAAAGGGGAAAAAAGTCGCTTTCAGAGTTCCAACTGATGCCCTAATAAAAGCCCCCTGCCTATGGCAACTCGGGAGCAGGTTAGGGAAGCTTCGCGAGTTGACAATCGCAATGCATCATGTGATGACGTGACGATGCGAGATTGACACCCCTGGGTTAAAATAACAGATCTTGCAGGTCCGAATGCCCCTCCCCACTTGGTCCTTGGTGAGAACTAGGAAGAGTCCTGTCTGAGATGCTTACTTAAATTATGCTTCTGCTTCAACTCAGGGTTGTTTTTTTTTACCACTGTTTCAGTTGTGGCTCTTCCTTAAGATTATTCCTTCTACCATTGCAATTTCACTACATTAGATGAAGTATAAAGAGAAAGTGCAGCTACAGGTTTCCTGCTTTTTAATGTAAGGACCCTTCCAAAATGTTAATCTCTTGTAAAACTCCAGAGATGTTTAAAATGAAGGAGTTTTCCAGTGGCCTGGGGGTGTTTTGGTTTTCCAGTTACTGGGTGAAAACACAGTCATTTCTTTCCCTGCAAAGAAACAGTCCCAGTTACCCAAACTGCTGTCGTTATCTTCTGTTTCACTGGCCAGCTTGAATAATGTCCGTCTCTTGGTTTCACATCTGTCATAGAGCTCCTGTGTGCAGAAAGGACAAGAGAAAAGAGGTGATTAAGCCACACGCACAAAAAAAAGATATTCACATCTACCCATGGAGTGAGTAAAGTGTGATCATCTGAGCTGGATGCTGAGCTGCTCTCTCACATGACCTAGCTACTGTATAAGGAAAAGATTCATACCAACCTTCATGAGCTCTTTATCGGCCTCGGAAGAGTCTTCTTTGCTATAGTGGATCAACATCTCATTCAACAATTTCACATTGTTGTTCACCTCCTCCAAAGTATGCATGCGCTTTGTTACTTTCTGTATTCGTGCCTCATCCTTCAGTTTTGAAACAAAAGAGCTAAAATTAAGCTTATTCTTTTCATTTCACCTTATAATTCAGGGCAGGCTGATTGAAGAGCTCAAGAGATCACATATTTCCCATGACTATTTCTAGAATTCTGGCTACAAAGTCCCGCTCTTTGACATGATTCTAAAAAGAGCTTTTAGGAATATTTTATGTAAACAGACAAATCTTAACACAAAAAATAAGAATCATTCTGTTGATAGCAGGATATAAAACAGCAGAAAATTTTAGTTTTGACTGATCTGTCTAGATCACTTTTAGTTATTTAAGGTAAGAATTTTGTCATAGAGCTAAGAGATTTGAGAAGGAAAGGATAAATACTATACTATACAATATGCAGGGGGGGGAACTAAAGGAAAAAAGCAAGAAACTACATGACATTAATCAAGAGAGAGTGTCATAACAAGGAAAAGAGAGAGTGTGTCATAACAAGGAAAAGCGGGGGAGGGGATATTTTGGCAAGGAAAATTCCATGCTGGCTGGGAATGAGTGTTGTAGTCCAACATATCTGCAGGGTACCAAGTTATGAAATAATGGCATAAATCATTCATTCAACTGATGGAAGCACATCTATCTTGTCACCTGACGGTGGGGGCGGGGTTGCCACTGATGATTCCTGGTGACTACCTAGATTAGATATCAGTTTCCTTAGCAAGATTTTCGGAAGTAATTTGAGTCCTTCCTGGAGCTGAGAGTGACTGGCTTGTGGTCACCCAGGTGGCTTTGTGCAGAACTAGAACTCGCAGTCTCCTAGCCTGGCACCTTAATCACTACACCAAACTGGCTCTCTGTCATATGATACAGACATTAGTAAACAAGTGAGCCAGTGAACCAAAGATAATAGAACCTATTAACTCTCTAATTTAAGAGTTGGGAGGCTGAGTGGAGCTACAAATCATTGACTAGCTTGTCTTATTTGTTACACAACCTCCTGATATAATTTCACACAGAGATAAGAATTTGGTGATAAGGAAAACAAAAATCTACTTACTAGAGGGTCATCACATTTAATTTTCTGGTAACTAATGGCCTGGGTTAAAAAGATTCTAAAATATGTGAATCTATAAAACAAATTCCAAGCAATCATCACCTCTACAGTATTATTAAGTGCTCAGTCTCACCTCTTTCACCATAGATTTAATAAGCTTGTTTGCTTCTTGTAAATCATCTGGGTTTTTGCTTTTCAACAGTTTAGCTAAAAGCTGCAAAAAGGAAAAGATAAGTAAATAAAATCACTGGCTCATTTTTCCTATTGCAAAATTCATTAAAGGAACCCTAAAAATCTTATACCTGATGCATATTTGAAGCATCAAATTCTGACTTTTGGCATTCTGATCTCAACCTTCTGGAATACTGTTTAAGGTGAAATGTGGCCTATAAACACAACAGCAAAACCCACTGAACTTGTTGGAATGTATTATTATTATTAATAATATTATTAATATTATTATTATTATTATTATTATTATTATTATTATTATTATTATTATTATTATTATTAATAATAATTTGCCAGACTTGAACATTTTGACTCTACAAAAAACCACCTTACTCGGAACAGCTTACATCCTCCGACGATACCTTAACAGTTCCTAGGTCCTTGGTTAGGACTCGAGCTGCTGAGCTATTAACCAGCCTCAAAGGCTGTGAATCTCACTAAAGATTAACCAATAAATAATAATAATAATAATAATAATAATAATAATAATAATAATAATAATAATAATAATAATAATAATAATAATAATATTTTATTTGCTCATTAACAACAACCAAGTCTTCAGAGTCAGCCCTGGAGTTGACAAAGCCACTTCTGGGTTGCCATAATTTCTGGAGAACGTTAGATCTAGAGGCCTGGAATTATAATAAGTAAATGAAGGCAAGATTTTGCTAACAGGAGAAGGATGCTTGTAACTTTCAATGAGTCTTAAGTTTTGAATTCTACATATTTTTATTGGGCTGTCTGATTGTACTCAACTTTGGAATTATCTTTAATAAAAACCAAGAAAAAAAGAAACAAGAAAAACTAAAAAACAAGAAAGCTCAGTGGTTAGAATGCAGTACTGCAGGCTAACTCACTGTTCACTCCAGGAGTTTTATTCTGACCAGCTCAAGGTTGACTCAACCTTCCATCCTTTGGTAAAATGAGGTTCGTAAAATGAGGACCCAGATTGTTGGGGGCAATATACTGACACTGTCAACCACTCAGAGAGTGCTGTAAAGCACTATGAAGCAGTATATTGCTAATGTATCAAATAAATAGAGTAGTGTAGAATAAGATGTGTGGATGACCTTTTAATGACTCAACTCAGCCACTTCCACATTTTTCTTCCTTAGAAGAAAAACAAATCATATTCATAGTACATAACTGTAAGATGTGAATGACTATGATGCCAAACAACCTAAGCTATTCAATTCAGCCCTAAATTCAGAGGATGACCAAAGTGAAACATTTTCTACACCCACAAAGAAATAGAGAAATTATCCACAAATAGGGAAAACCGTACTACCTTGTTCAGAACAAAAGTAAGATTTATAAAACAGGTCAGAATTTGTGAACACTTCACCTGAGTGGGTTTTCTTTACACTTAAAAATGCAGCTCTTAATATTCCTATACTCGGAACAAGCAAGATCAAGAAGCATGACATTCTGTAGTGCACCCAGAAGTATCTCCAATTGCTTCCAAAAATCAGAGTTGTTGTGCTACAACATTCATGGGAAATAAGAAACATTCACTCTTGAATATTTTTAAAACTGCAGATAAAGAGGGAGCAGGAAAGCTACTAAATCCCAGTTTTACATTTTCTATCTCAGTGTTTCTCAACCTTGGACATTTGAAAATGTGTGGACTTCAATTTCCAGAAAAGCCCAGCCAGCCATTAAATGGCTAAGGTTGAAAAATGCTGCTCTATCCTATGAAAAGCAACCCAATGGAACTTGCCTGTTGCACATTATTATAGCTGAGGCTTCAAGTTTACCTTGGATTTCTCTTCATCATCAAACACAGGGTTTTTGGGACGAGGTGGCGGAGAGGGAATAAGGGTTTTCTCCACAGGAATAACAGGATCAGACAAGACAATGCCTGAAGGCAAACAGAAAACAAAAGGAGTGTTATACCAAGGTCTCCGAAAGGCTTGAGTCTGCTTCTCTCTTTCCACCTCCAATTAACCTCCTGCTTTTGAATAATAGTAGCCAGATCACCTTCAGAGGGACTACTGCATTTGAATCTTTGCAACTCATCATCATGCAACATTTCTGCTTTAATTTTCCCTAAACTAGCTTCCTGCCAGATGTGTGAACTGCAAAACCTCAGAACTGACTGATTTCCCACTTTATTTTTACAAACAACCCAAGGTGGTGAACATACCAACACATCTTCTTCCTCCTATTTTCCCCACAAGTACAACTCTGTGTGGTGGATTGGGCTGAGAGAGAGTGATTAGCCCAAAGTCACCCACCTGGCTCTTATGGCTAAGGAGGGACTTGAACTCATGGCTTCTTGCTTTCTAGCCTGGCAGACCATGCTTGGCTAAGGGGATTTTGAAAGTTGATATCTACTGACTGGAAGATGCTCAGGTTGGGGAAATCTGATACAGGCCATCCTTCATTACCCTCATGGTATCTGGTTGGTACAACTAGAACTTCCATCATCTGACCCACGGCTCAAGGTAATGTTATTAAGGGATGATAAGGGCTGTAAATCTTCATATCCAAAGAGTAGTAATTTGGGGAAGGTTGAATTAGATTAAGCATGTTTCATTTAACTTGGTTATTTTGTATATCATCTGATCTAAAACTCCAAAGAAGCTTTACATCTAAATGGCAAAAATGTAATTAGTATTCAATGTGTGGATCAGCTGTTAACACTATCCAGAACTCCATCACGACAGCACTGAGAACTCCATAGCATTTTGTGAAAAGATGATTTTCTGTACTATTTTATAACATGTAGATAAGGTTCCTAACTATATAATGTATAACTTGTATACTCCTGTTATTACACTATTACAAAATTATATCAAGCTACAAAGGAGAAAAAAAGGCAGCACAGGAAGCAATTATCTACCTTGTCTTTTCAACATGTAGTAGGCATCTTTGATTTTGGACTCATCTGGCAAAGCAACTGTCCAGCTGTACAGCAGCTCAATTATTTTGGTTTTGACCTTTTCTGACACTCTGTCTCCCAAGTACTGCAAGAATGCCCAAGAAGGTAAAAAAGATTTCAGTTTTTCTGCCCTTAAATGAAATATTCATTTTTGAACCATAAGATTTATCTAAGATCAACTACATTATAAATGATTTTTTTGTTTTGCTGGTTTCAGATGCAGTAGCTTAAGAAACTGTACATCAAGAAACTTGATATTTGTTTTGGCAACTACTTGGCCAAAACAAATTTCCAAGAATAACTTATGTGAACTGAGAACAGTAAGTGTGTGTGTATGTGTGCGCGCATGCGAGTATCAAAAGTAAAGGTAAAGGTTCCCCTTGCACATATGTGCTAGTCGTTCCTGACTCTAGAGGGCGGTGCTCATCTGCGTTTCAAAGCCGAACAGCCAGCACTGTCCAAAGACGTCTCCGTGGTCATGTGGCTGGCAGGACTAAACACCAAAGGTGCAGGGAACGCTGTTACCTTCCCACCAAAGGTGGTCCCTATTTTTTCTACTTGCATTTTTATGTGCTTTTGAACAGCTAGGTGGGCATTCGAACCGCTGAACTGCCGACCTTTTGATCGACAAGTTCAGCATCTTAGCCTCTGAGCCACCATGTGCCAGTGTCAAAAGTAAGCATCACTAAATCCAATGGAACTCAATCCCAGTTCCAAAAACATGGAACTCTTAAAACACATAAAACTGCAGTATAAAATTATTTAATTATCTGAATTGCACATATCCTCCTTGAATGATTCCTATCTCTGCATTATTCCTCTACCTACCAAGTTGTGCATTATATACTAAAAACAGCTCAAATAGGAAGAAGCACTTTTAAAGTGTAGGTGCAATTCAATTATTTACAGCCTGATGCATCTTTGAAGGATGTGCCTGAAAAAAACTGTGTTTGGGGATATGAACAATCCACCTACAAATACAAATGAAAACAGAACTAATACCAACCTTGGGAGATACAACTTTTATTAGCTCATTTAAAAAACGAAACTTCCCTACTTCACTATGAAATCTGCGCCCACAGTTCTTCATACAAGCTTCCAGCACCTGAAAGTCAAGCAAACAGACATGAGATAAGTATCACAAATCAGGATGGGTCTACCTAAAAGAAGTCCTCCAACTTGTCTCCAAAAAGTCACAGGTTGCCTATGAAATCACTTAATGGTATTTATACCATCAGGATTTCATGTAAGACAAAAGTGGATAATGTTTTCTTCTAAGAATCCCATTCCTTCAGGGGACCTCCTTGTGAAGAGGGCCAAAGACAGTGCACATGGAAATATGTTCCCCTAACTAAGAGCTTTAAATACATCAATAGCTTTTCCCACCTCTTCTAAATCTAACATTGATTTTTTTTTTCTCCAAGCAGCAGCTTGCAGAGAAGGCAGTGTGAAATGACATTTTGTTATGGTCATAAGAACTGTGCATGGATCTGTAAGCATTGAAGTGCCCAGAGAAATCCCTTTTTTATGACGATCCTCTATGACTGTCTCAGTTGTGGACATTAAAAGAGTTAATAATATGGATGGAGTAATATTAGATAACTAGGTGGAAATAATGTAACTCCAAAGAATAGAGTATGTAACCCATTCAGAGTTAATTTACTGGGTCAGAAGACTACTTTTTATATTACTATAGAAACAGTGATCCATTTTCACTGGCCTAGCTAAGCATGTTATGGAACATAGCCCATAAGTCACACAATTCAGCAATATGAAATGAAGATACCAATTAGACATTATTAAACCATTTTAATGCATTATATCTCAGGAAAACACATGTTTTACATCTGGAAGAACTTACTTCTGACCTTCCAGGTTGTTCATTTAAGAAAGAGGACTGAATTCGTATCAGCCCACAAGACTTAACAGATAGTTGCTCAGGCTATCCTTTCCTAGCTAATGCCAACTAAATCAAGTTTAGACATAACCACTATTGTATATTCTTATACTTTACTTCAAAATCATAAAGAGTAAAACTTTTTGTAAGCAAGATGTTAAGGCAAACATAGTCTAATCCTATACATTTCCTCGTAAGTGAAGCTAGTATTGAGAACTCTATTCCATAGTTAAAAAGCTAGAGAGAAATACAATAAGAAAAATAATCTAAAGTTTGCCACGGAAGAGGCTTATTTATTTATTAGTTTGATATATGCCGCCCTTCTCCGGAGACTCATGATGCCTATCTGCACAATAATATATAGACTTGCATAGCTTATTCTGCATGTATAATAATTTTTCTGTGCAAAAGAAAGCAGTTCTGAGCACAGAATTTCAAATTTGTGTAAGAGAAGCAAAAACTGTTCCCACAAGAAACTTAACATCTGAGGGGAAATTTAACATGTATTAGAATAAGTAGCTTAAATTAAAACACATATTTTCCTGGGTGAACAGTGACAGACCAGGAAAAGCAGCAACTTTTTTTACAGAGCTGCTGACAGGTAAAGAGGCTGTGACCATCCTGGATTTGAAGCACCTCTTCCACTTTGCACACTGAATACTGCACACTAAAATGGCTGGATTCAAACATATTAAGCCAAAATAACTCTGCTTTGGTAAACAAGTCATATTGATCTAATTCCCACATACTGTAAACCTTGATGGATGGTGGTTGCCTATTTGTCAGGTTGCTTCCCTATCAGATTTATAGGTTTTCTCAAGATGCAGCTGTTTATCAAAGTCTTCCTCGTCCCTATCATGGGACCCTCACCTTTTGGGACTCTGTTATTTTTTCATCAGCCTCAAGCACTCTTCCTAACCTTGCCTGTCAATTCCCTGCCGGTTGCCAGATCAACCAAGAATCTTGTGACACATAAAGAAGACAGTCCCTCCTAAGAAAGCTTATGGAATAATAAATGTTTTAATATCTAAGATACACTAAGACTCTAAGTATTTATTGGTTCGATTTATATGCCGCCCTTCTCCAGAGACTCAGGGCGGCTTACAATGCGTTAAGCAATAGCCTTCATACTTTTGTATATACCTGCTTAGTAGGGCTTTCGGCCCCCCCAAGCGGTGTTCTTTTTTTAAACAAAGTCAGCTTATTGCCCCCACAAACCTGGTCCTCATTTTACCTACCTCGAAAGGATAGAAGTCTGAGTCAACCTTGAGCCTGGTGAGAATTGAACTCGCAGTAATTGCTGGCAGCTGGCAGCTAGCAGGCAGCTGGCAGTGCGCGAGCTGCACTGGTTCCCGGTGGCCTTCCGGGTGCACTTCAAGGTGTTGGTTATCACCTTTAAAGCGCTCCATGGCATAGGGCCTAGCTATCTTCGAGACCACCTGCTGCTGCCGACGACCTCCCATCGACCCGTGCGCTCCCACAGAGAGGGCCTCCTCAGGGTGCCATCAGCCAAACAATGTAGGCTGGTGACCCCCAGGGGGAGAGCCTTCTCTGTGGGGGCCCCTACCCTCTGGAATCAGTTGCCCCCAGAGATAAGGAGAATCCAAGACCTCAGTGCCTTCCGCTGTGCCCTTAAAACCCACTTTTTCCAGCAAGCCGGGCTGGCTTAAGAAGAAATTTTTAATTTTTTTAAATGTTTTAATTGGTTTGTGATTTTTAAATTTTTGGGCCAAATCTATATATATTTTAATTGTTCTTAATATTTGTAGTTTATGTTCTTAATTCTGGCTGTGCACTGCCCTGAGTCCTTAGGGAGAAGGGCGGTATATAAATTGAAAAATAAAAAAATAAAAAATAAAATAAAATAAATAAGTACTACTTTAACAGCAGCAGTTTAGTCCACTGCGCCACCAGGCTCTTGTATTATGATTCAATGAGACAATTTTCCTTACTCTAAATAACTCTTTGTAGCACCACTGATAATTCCACTTCATGAAGATATTAATCTGCATGCAAATCCAGAATTTCAAAAGAGAGGTAAGGAAGACCTACTGTCAAGGCCTGGACTGCTTCCCATTCCTGTGGTGACTGGATTTTATGAGCTAGCAATCTAACAGCAATCTGTGGACTGAAATAAATAGGTTACTAATTTAAATAGCATTCCCCAAGTACCTGGTCACCTACAGAGAAAGATAGGAGACCATTGTTCTTTGTCCCTGAAAAAAAAATTATCTCAAATTTGAGAGAAGATAGAAGAGAGAGAGAGAGAGTACTAAAACTAAACAGGAGAAACAATCTGTGATTATTTCAGATACTTCTGCTTATTCACACTAAGGTTTGGGAAATATAGAACAATAGAAAATGTTTCATTTTCATAGTTACCGCTGCAATATGCAGCAATCTCATTTTCAAAGTACTATTTTTAAATATAAACATTAAATCTCACTTCAGAGAGGAAAAAGAGAAAGCTAGAATTTCCAAGTTTTATGATGCACAAACAACAGAGCGATCATCGGTATGTCAACTTCTCAACCCGATGTAGTTTTATAAAATGACACAGACAAGGATGCAGTCGAAACAAGGCCTCCAAATTCTCTACCAGGATTGTGTTGATTGTTTCAGCAGGGTTCTCAGGTATTGTGCAAAGAAAAGGCAGCCATATTGGACCAACCCAAGGCAAACTCTTTAAGGACTGGGGAAGGTTGTTTTAACACCCTTCATTTCCTCAATATTGGAAAGATAACATTTTCCAGTCATTCCAACTGCTACCATTTATTACATTTGTCGACAGAAATCTACTTTTCCCCTAGAACCATTTAAATCCCACACATCCCTGGATTTAAAACCAACCTCCCAGCCATATTAATTGTGGTGCTTTGTCTCACATCCTATAAAAAAATATTTCCTGCAGTTTTCATGTTTGAGAGTGCAAAGTACAGGTGGTCCTCGACTTACAACCACAATTGGGACTGGAATTTACATTGTGAATAAGCAAAGTGACTATTAGATGACTTGTGCCTGTTTTCACAATCATTTTTGCTACGGCTGTTAAGCAAATCACATCAGTTGTTAAGCAAATCTGGCTTCTCCCATTGGCTCTGCTTGTCAGAAGCAGGCTGGGAAAGACACAAATGGTGATCATAAGACCCCAGAATGCTACAACTGTCATAAATGCATGCCAATTGCCATGAGCCCAAATTTTGGTCACGTGACCATTGTGTGCTACGACAGCTTTAAGTATAAGGACTGGTCATTAGTCACTTTTTTCAGTGCCATTCTAGCTTTGAATGATTGCTAAACTAATGGTTGTAAATCGATGATTACCTCTATTAATAACTATCAAAATCCAAGTATTACATATCACATTAACTGTATTAGGATCAAATCCTGCAGCTTTCCAAAAAAATTCCTTCTTCAATAAAACCTTGTGATGCAGTCTGGATAGTTTTGGATACGAACCCTTCAAGTTCTTTATTGATCTGATCACAGAAGCCAATAATATACTCCCAATCTTCCTGTCTATTCAAAGGGTTGGTGGCTTTGTCTGGTTAAAAAGAAAAAGCAAAGGTGTTAATGATGGTTTTAAAAAAAAATAATCTCAAAACTTCCTTCTGATTTGAAGTGGTTGGTAAGTAATATGCTAGTACACTTATTTCCCTTTCTCTTTCAGAAAGGCTTTGGGAAAAACAAAAGCATTTCATATAGCGTAGTGATTAAGAACCAGGGATATTAGCTCCAAATCCATAATAATCATGAAAACTTACTGGGTGACCTTGTGCCTGTCTTTTAGTCCAAACTATCAATCACAAAAACTAGAAAGGGATGCTATGTATAGCCCCTTGAGCTTCTACAGCAGAGGTCCCCAAGCCCCGATCCATGGATTGGCACCAGGCCGCGACATGCCAGAAACTGGGCCGCACAAAGAAGCAGAGCCCCACTCATGGGATGCAGGCAGCATGGGAAACCATGCCCCCTCCAGTCTGTGGAAAAACCCCTCTCCATGAAAGTGATCCCTGGTGCTCAAAAGATTGAGGGGCTGCTGTTCTACAGGAAAGGCAGGACATAAATATAACAAATAAAGGGAAATAGTGGATCAGCTGCCTGATCACTGCTCACGCAGCTGATTTAGAAGTTGTTCCCCATTTTCCAAACACCTGTGGATGTGAAACTGATTGCTTCATTTTCTTCCCACCAAAGCAAACCATTGAGCATCAACATGCATGAAGAGACTGCCCGAGTAGCACCCAAGGCAGTGATGCAAGCCCTTCAGAGGATATAACTGCTTCAAATATTTGAAAATGAAGTGCTTCACATTGACTTCCATGTGTCTTGAAGTGCTTTTCTTTCAGTGCTTTATACAATATTCAACAGCATTTGCCACAGCACACACACGTATCCGCCTACAAAAAATATTAGCAAGAAATCACTTCCCAAAAATATCTTTCTCTGAGATATAGAAAACTAGCTGGAAGTTGTTTGAGATCATTTTTTTAAATAAAAGAGTTATATATGTACAGAGGAAGAAAAAAAAACACCACCACCAGGTGCTTCCAGATTTTTGTTCTGTCACAGCTGGCATCTGAGGGGCATCAATACACCTATTAAAATGTTTCCTGGAGAAACTAGCCTTTCTTCCCTACCTCATTTTCTTTTTCCCCCAGTAATTTTAATTTTTTAAAAAAATGAATGTTGGATGAATGCTGGAATGTTGTAAAGCAAAGCACTAGCCTCAAGCATAACCTGAATTTTCAATGACTCCAATCAAGCCTCCAGAAGCACTTTTACAAAATAAAACTGTGGGTGGCTACAGCCCAGGATTTTGATAGAACTGCCATGGGTAGGATCAATTTTGAGAGAATGCATGCAACCACCACCTTCAGAATTGTATACCTGACCATGGACTTTCAAAAATTAGGGGCTCCTAGTGTGTAGCGAGTAGGAGAGGCAACACCAATACAGACAGGATATTCCACCTGAAATTAATTAATTAATTAATTAACTAATTAATTAAGTTGATGGTGACTGGCTGACCATTTTTTTTAGTTATGTTATGTGAATGTCATACTGGTGTTGAGTCAATCAATTGGGGCAAGATAAACATTTTGTAAAAAATAAATATACAAAGTGAAAAATCCTGGATCGAGGTAATCAGCCGCCTGTTTAAATGGGAGCCTGGCTGAATGAACAGGCAAACGTTAGACATGCCACTACAGAATCATGTGCTTAGCATCTTTTTTATCGTTACCCAACCCGGCACATAAGCTCAAGAAATCTCTGTGATGTGTGGATTTAAAAAGAGGCTCGGAAAACATCTGAAGCTATGTAGCTGCAAGGCCCATAAAACATATCCAATGACTTTGGCAGGAAGTGTAATCAATCTCTGGTGAGATTTGCTAAAATCCAAAAAATCTCCCTGTTTTTTTAAACAGATTCCAGGCAGGAGGGATCTTTTGGAACACTCCAAGGTCCCTGTATCATAAGAGTTTAGCCTTGGCCTGCAGAAACCTTATCTACTACTGGTATTTGATTTTTTTTCTATACTGAATGATATCCATTAGACAATATCAACTTGCCCTATAAACTTTGAGAACTCACAGGACATAAGAAGTCCATTATGTACAAAAAAAGGGAAAAGCTATAGTCATCGCAAACCTTATGTTACTGTGGGTAAAACAAGAAATATTTAATATTATGAGCAAGCAAATTATAATGCGGATACCTGTGATTTAAAGGTGCCTTCTTAAATTACAAAAAGAAGACTGAGCAGTAGTCAATCCTAAACTCGAAACATAATTGACATTTCATGTTCAAATGCAGAAAACCCGTAATAAAAGAAACCAATTCTAAGTAACTGTGGTTTCAAAAGAGAATTGGCACTGAAAACCAGACCATGAATACAGAACAGAGACATACTGTTATCAAGTCTGCAGAATGTGATCATTTAGGAGAAACTGAGTCAATTCATGATAAGGCAGGGCTTTTATTCCAGAGGGAGATGAAAACAGAAGAGAGGGATTTGGGAGCTGTGGGTGGAAGGACAGTGTCTGAGGAAAACTTCAAATCCTAGTCCTAGAAAATCTCCATCGGTCAAAGTGAGAGGTTTATGAGTATATATTTAATGCAGGTAAAGCAAGGATTTGACAGCCCATAGTTATTTTGTGATATTAAGAGAATCTCATTATAAACCATTTTAAGTGATTTAAATGGTTACATTTAGTTCAAGTCTTTGTTTAAACACTAACAAAGTTATTATGTTGTTCTATATCTTCCTTCAAATCCACCTATTTATATTGCCTCATATACATCATGAAATACAGGAGAAAAAATAATTTAAACACCATGAAACAATTTGGTGATGGCAGCAAAAGTCACAGATCCTTTGGAGATTAATGGGATTAAATTTTAAGCATGAAGAACAAAATGTTAAGGGAAAAAAAAAACACAGCCTCAAGAAAAGCATATATACCTAATCCTGGGCCTTTTAAGAGAATAATTGTGAATGAAATTAGTATTAACTGGAAGCACACAAAAAACAAGCAGGTATCATGTCTATGCCAGAAAAATTATTTAAAGGGATCACAATTTTTTTTACCTCTTTTTGATCTTCATTTGCTTATTTATTTTAAAATTTCAATATTAGAACATGGATGCAATGAATCCAAAAGCGTTTTTGTTTTAAAAATACCATAGTGTTTCTGTACACACTCTCCACACAGCTTTAGTGGTCACAGCAACAGGATGTGTAACAATATCATCTACATGTTTTCTGAATTGGAAGTCAGGACAAAATAACTATGTTCAGTTATACAAAGAGAAGCTCCAGTACATAGGAAACAGTTCTGCTGAAAACACTGGACAGCTTTGAAGATGACTTGAGAAAAACTGTGTTTGGTGAATATAACTCTCTCATAACATTAAAGCATGGCTTCTCTCTTCTTATTTCCTTCCCTGTCCAGTTACTGATTTCTCCTTTCCCATCTCCGTCCAGTTTAGTTTCCCCTCCTCCCATCTTTCTCTTGCCTTCCAGTGCAGCAACTGTTCACCCAATTTCCATTCTGCTTTTTTTCTTCTTCTTCTTGGCTGCTTCTGCTGGAAAAGAGGAGGAAAATGTGGGCACGTGTCTTATGTCACAGTGGTTTGTGGGTGAGAGGCAGAATATTTGATGTTAGGAGATTTTATTAATTTTGTAAGTGAGGTAAATTATTTTATAAGGGATGAATTTTAATCAGACATTCTGTTTTCGTCATAGCCATAGCTTTTTTGGAGTGTTGTTTCCAACACAGAAAAGTGTGAACCAGAATTCAAGATTGGTTTAAAAGGAACTATGGTAAGGTAGAGAAACTGGGCATCTTTATACATCTTTCCTTTTCTCTTTAATCTTTGAAGTCAGTAATTATTTTCTAGTTTAAAAGGTAGATGTGAGGAATAAGGAATGCCAAAGAAAATTATGTAAACATTTTTAGTTAACATAATTTAGTTATCAAAAATGAAGTTATGAAAATATGAAAAACATTCATTCGTTTTTAATCTAGTGAATTCCTATTCCAATTACAACCCAAAATTATTTGCCAGTAATTAGAAATCCAAATAAAGGACACTTTGTTAAAAAAAATGAAATATTTAAAGTAGGCAACACAGACTAGCAGCAGTAAAAGAACAATTAATACTTGATGTCAGAGTCCAATACAGATGTTGGACTCTGACCAGTGGTGGGTTGCCCCCGGTTCGGACCGGTTCTATAGAACCGGTAGTAAAGCCAGTGGGAGGCTCCGCTCACCAACCCCGATGTCATCAGGAAGCTTCTGCGCTACCCGTTGCAAACCAGTAGTAAAGGTAAGTAGAACCCACCCGACTCTGACATCAAGTATTTTCTTAAGAAAATATGAACAATATATTTGTGATCTTTATTTGTGCTAATTGGTTCTCATATATACATTATAATACTTTAGATTATGCGAAGCATTAACACTATTTCCATGTTTGACTTGAACTAAAAAAGACTTGCAATCTGCTATTTTAAGTCCCACCTTAGGCATGGAAGCCAGCTGGGTAACTGGGCCAGTTACACTTTCTCAACCCAACTCACCTGACAGGATTGTTGTTGTGGAATAAACAGGAAGAAGTATAAGGCATATTTGCTGCCTTGGTAGTCCTCGACTTACAACAGACTTACAAAGTTACAATGGCACTGAAAAAAGTGATTTATAACCGTTTTCGTTGCAGCATCCCCATGATCAAAATTCAGATGCTTAGCGACTGGTTCATATTTATAACTTTTGCAGTGTCTCAAGATCATATGAACAGCTTTTGTGACCTTCTGAGAAACAAAGTCCACGGGGAAGCCAGATTCACTTAACAACCATGCCATGATTTCCTTAACAACTTTGGCATGAAAGGTCGTAAAATGGGGCAAAACTCACTTAACAAATATCTCACTTAGCAACAGAAATGTTGAACTCAATTGTGTTCATAAACTGAGGACTACTTGTGATAAAGGTGGGATTAAAATAAAAGAATCCTAAGAAGAAAGAGAGGGACTGGTGTGGGAACTAGAAAGTTTTTTTTTAATCAAGTGGAGTTTTCTCAAATTTATTCTTTCTTCCTATCAAAATCAATGACAGTAAATTTTCTGTCAACTCAAAGCAAGCCAGAGCTGGTCCAATAAATGATACTGATGTTCCAGTATCTGCCTCCTGAGGCCTACCCAATAAAGGAACTTCCATCTTAATCACTCTACCGGTTACCCATGACACAATATATAAAAGGAATGATAAAGAATATTGGCTGAACAATGTAAATTCATGCCTTCCAACCCCATTTTTAAAATACATTTGCTATGCAGCCTTAAAAATGATAAAGCAGTTTTTGAGTTAAGAATGCCAATTTGGTGAATACCTGGACAAAACCATGCAGGGTTTTCTTCTTGGCAACAATACAAAACCAGTTTGCAATTGCTTTTTCCCCAGAATTGTCTAACCTACAGCTTTATTATTCTCTGGTGATTTGATCTCCCATTCAAGTACTAACAGGCAAACAATTATCTCTTAGCATCAGACTTCTGTCTGCTAGAATAACAGCATTAATCTTTTTTCACTTTGACATAATGTATGTGAAGCATTTGGAGCAAACTAAGGACATACCACATGCAGGCAATGCACTTCAAAGTCTACCAAGTGCCACAATCTACAAGATTAATAACAGTAAGGCTATCAGTCACTGGGAGTAACAATTGAAAAAGGTACTGTCATGTGGTATTACTTGTTGGCTTTGCAGAAGTATCTATCGCTACTGTGACAAATAGAATGCTGAACCAGACCAGGCTTTGGTCAGACTAACCAAAACTTTTCTTGGATTCTTAAACCTCTCATCCATTTGTTCCCCATCCTTATGCCATTTATACAATTTAAAATGTCTGGAAGAATGTTGTAATTTGAATATATGCTGAACAGGTAAAGATAAAGGTTTCCCTGTCCAGTCATAGCTGTCTCTGTGGTGCTCATCTCCGTTTCTTGGCCAAGGTAGTCAGCATTGTCCCAAGACATTTTCCGTGGTCATGTGGCCAGCATGGCTATACATCAGAGGCACATGGAACACAGTTACCTTCCCACCAAAGTGCTACCTATTAATCTACTTGCATATGCATGCTTTTGAAGTGCTAGGTGGGCTGGAGCTGGGGCAGGAACGGGAGCTCGTCCTGTTGTGGGGCATTCAGGTTTCGAACCCAGGCTGTCAGTTTTCCAGCTGACAAGCCCAGTGTCTTTAACCACTGAGCCAATGTGCCCCCTTCTATGCTGAACAGTAAAACAGAATTTACTTAGAAAACTTGAAAATGCAAACCCATAAAAAGCCCAAAAGAAACACTGTAGTTATTTAACAGAAGAAAATGCACATAGAATATTTTATTTTCCCCCTCTTAAAAACGAATCACTTCTTAATGGAGCCAAACCGCAGGAGCCTTCAACTATTGCCAATGCAACTTAGAGTTTCTGTTTAACTGAGTGTGTATATTGTGAATTGAAATGCCCGGTCTTATTGCAACAGGCAAAACATAACACCGCACTGGCAGTTCAATGTAGAAAGGGGGGAAAAAGGATTTATTTCTAGTAGCATTTAAAAACTGTACAACAGACTCTGAAAAGAGCTAGATAGGAAATTACAACACTAGAAAATTGCGACAAGGCCAAAATCAGTACTAATGTATAACTTACAAATAAGTGAATGGAAAGAGGAGATGAATAAGAGGATAGTAGAAATAAAGTACTGTATATATTTCAGGAAATGGGATCTTTTTATAACAAATTAAAGTGAAGGGGAAAAATGCAATTTAGGTATATTCTAAAGTAAACAAATTAAAAAATACAGGTAGTTCTTGATTTACAACCCTTTGTTCAGAGACCATTTGAAGTTATGATGGTGCTGAACAAAGGGATTTATGACTGGTTCTCAAAGTTCCAGACAATGCAGCACCCCACAGTCACATGAACAAAACTGAAGGGCTTGGCAAGCAGCTTGCACTTATGACTGGTTGCAAAATCCTGCGGTCACATGACTGCCATTTGCGACCTTCCCTGCTGCCTTTTCCACAAGCAAATTCAATGGGGGAAACTTGACATGAACGATCACAAGTCTTTCACAAGGCCTCTCCGACCCTCCTGCAAGCACTCCTGCACAGGCAGACTCCCTTCACTTCCCACTTAACGACCTACACTACTGGAGTTATCACAACAATCAGGAATGCTTGGAATGTCGTCTCTAAGCGATGCGGTGACCACATCGCTTTATGACCGCATCATTTAGCAATGGCAATTCCGGTCCCAATTGAAGTCCTAATTTGAGGATTGCATGTGTCTGTCCTAAAGGATAAACTCCACTAGCCTAAATTATACAGCTGATCTAATTTGTAACCCACGGAATATTATAATGATTTGCATACTGCCAGAGAAGTAAATAACACCTTGTCCCAGAGAAGAGGAACTGCTCCATTTTTAATTAAGGGCATTTCTATAGCTAGAAGGAACAACACACCAAGCTCTTGGATCAGAAGGAACCAAAAGGCCGGATTACAAGAGGCAAACTGGTCCAAAGCTTGAGGTGGGCGGAGGTAAATAACCACCAGCAGCGCCCCCCAGGTCTCCCTGGGCTTCCTTTAATCCCAAGAGCCGGGCTGTCCACCTGATGAACCCTTCGAGGCAACAGAACAGCCCCGCCACAGCTTTTCAACCCGGTCCCGCCGCCGTTTCCAGCCCCGGATCCCCGATGCTCAGCCGATCAGGTTCAAAGCCAGCCGGCTCTGTCTGTCGCCCTCCTCCACCCGCTCAGACTTCCCATCCAGGGCTGGTCATGATCCCCCCCCCCACATTCGCCTTCCTCTCCAGCGGTGCAAACTCTTCCCCACCTGCCTTTCACCCGCCCGCCACCCGTTCCTAACGCGCCTTCCTTCCCAGGCAAGGCAAGACTCCAGCCGCCTCGGCCGCCGCCCCCCCCCCCCCACTTGCCCAACGGCAGGAAAGAGGGCAAGGGTTACTCACTCAGCCAGGACTCCAAGCTTTCCCCTTCCGCCTCCGCCATGTTGCCGGCTGGCTCGGAGACTCCGCCCCCCGCCCCCTCCGATCAGGTTACGCCACGGCTGCGCCGAGCCGACCAGGCACCGCCTAACGCTCGGAAGGTGGGGAGAAGGCAGTGGGGGTGGTTGGTGGGGGGGGGGAGAAGGTCCGCGTCTCGTCCTTTCGCAGCGCCCTCTGGCGGCGGGCGTCGCTCACTACTTCATTTTCTGTGATCAGGTAGTCTTTATTCTTGCTAGCATTGACATTCCCGCATCTCCCGGTTCGCTTGTGCGGTCGCCTTTTTCAAGTACGTCGGGTGTGGTTGAAAAAAAAAATATTCTACTTAATAAGAAAAAGCAGAAAGATTTCCCCTAAATCCCTGCTTTCCGCCCTTGGCAAATTAGACCTCAAAACTGATAATAAAAATCAAGATTGTATGTCCTGTTTACTATAGGACAAATTCAGCAGATTATCTTAAAACTGCTTTTCAAAATTTAATTTTTTTAAAAAATTCCACCTATATAACGTGATAAAATGATCCTAAAAGGCCACAATTTTTCTTCAAGATCGCAACCCAGTTTACATAAAGCCGTCCTTCTACATAAGAGGCATTCCTAGGAAAATAAAATAGAATAAATTGTAATCCAGAGGTTTGTTTGCTGATATATAGGTGCTTTGTGATTGGCCACGCCTACCATGGCAACTGTGTTGTGAGAATTTGCAGTCATATATTCTTAAGATTCCAAATGTGCACTCTGACTCAAAAAGTTGAGATCCCAGGAATATGTACCACTGGCTCTCTTGCTGAGACAATGAAAAATTTAATAGATCTTCATCTCTATAAGGATTTAGAAGAACCTGCGTGGACCCATCCACCCGCATGAAATAATTTCTTAAGATTTTCTTAATCAGATGCCTTCTGGAATTTTGCATTCAGGCTTTTAAGACCATAACTCCATTGTCTACCTTTCCCACCACTGGCATTTATTAGCATTTTTACAGGACAAAAATTTCTATCCCACTTTAGTATTTTAAAAAACTTTAATTATTTAAAAAAGCTATATAATTAATGAAAGAAAATGGTAGAACAAATACAATAAAATGATATTAGAACCAAATAAAAAGAAGACTGAAATTTAGCAATATGATAAGACAAATGTCTATGAGAACAAGGTTTATCACTGTTATTTTTTTGACTGCCAATGTTACATCCTATTTGTAAATTTGGTAGATATTATTCAGTTATGACAACCAATACTTGCTTGTCCTTTTGTTTGTAACAGCCTGTTTTTCCAGGTACAAATCTTTCCAATTCATATTAAAATAATATAATTGTTCAATAAAAAAAATCATTTTTAAAAAATCAATTGTTTCTGTGGAACAAATAGCCCTAAGGGAAGAATGGAAGAAGTTAGTTTGAACAGGCTCTGAGATGGTCTTCAACTGCCTTCCGCAGTTTTCTTCTGTACTAGCCAATGATACTTTCCCATGACTAACTCATATTTAAAGCCATCTGAACTAAGGGATTAACACACTTCAGCTTGTACTGTAGCCATGTTCTTCTTTTTCCAGCGTATTCCAGCTAGTGCAGGGTCAGCTTGTACTGTAGCCATGAATTCCATAAATCTATAGGGTATCAAGTGAAGTCTTTTCTTTTCCTGAATCCCCTTTCCAATTTATTGGATAACCCCAAATTCTTAATTTTAAGCAGAAAGTAAAACTTCGTACTCCCTTTTTTTTTCTCTTACAACTAAAAATAAGAACTAAGTTTTGTGAACATTCTACGTTCAAGATTTTTCTCGGACTGTTTGTAATTTTAGTCATCACTTTCATTTATTTATTTACTTGTTCTTTTCTGCACTCTTTCCAGAGTTCTTTAGTGATGGGCAAAAACACACCGTTTTCACCTCCCTCTGTAATAAATACACTCTGCATACCAACTACAGCATAGTTGATCCAAAACTGATCAAAGGTGGCTTACAAAACGCATTTGGCATGGGCTTGTATAGCTTTCCATGGTTTTTCGAGAGCGAACTCCCCGCAACCATAGGACAAACTATGGCCAAGTAGCAACGACGAGTCTTTATTCCTAGCGTGGCCCAACCTCCCACAACACGGCGCCTTCCAAAGAGGGTGTGAGGGTTACAACTCCCGCCGCTTGGCATTTTGGGAGCTGTAGTTCCAAGTTCCATCCCAGCCGACTTGCTCAGTTGCGTTTTCCTTAGAACCGCTTTCTTTAGGCCAGTGTTTCTCAACCTTGGTAACTTGAAGATGGGTGGACTTCAACTCCCAGAATCCCCCAGCCAGCGCACACACCAAGAAAGGAACGTTAGCATATCCAGCAGGGATAACCCTCTCCGTTTAAGCACGTTAAAAAGCAAAGAAGGAATCGCCCGCCTGTTTTTTTTTTTTTGCAGAACTTCCACGCTGATGGCTACGTCACAAAGGCTCATGGAATGGAGTGGGGGGAAGCCCCTTCCCCGGAAGGCCGTTTCCAGAGCAACGGAGCTCCTCCCCCTGGCGGTCCTTTGGACAGCCCTCGATGAGGTCCTGAAGGAAGATGGCGTCCCCCGCGATGGAGAAAGTGGGGCGCCTTGTCCAGCAGCTCCGTGGCTCTCGGAAGCTCTGGCTTCCCGGGTAAGGAAGGGAGGAGCAGCAAAGAAAGTGAAAGGCTTGAGACGATGCCATGCAATGGAGAGAGGAGGGTTGGATTTCATTTTGGTTCCCTAACCAGAATGACAGTTTAGCATTATGGCTCCTCGCAAGCAGCATGCATGGCAGGCGGGAAGGTGCATAGAAACGGTGGGAGGAAATCCTCAAATGCCTTCTGTGAAATTAAAATTAAATTACCCTCGTCTCCTAACGTGGCCACAATCATGCAATGTTCTGCAAGTGGTTTGCGTGGCTTCTTCCTTTTCCCCTTTTAATCTTTTCAAGGTCAGCCAAGTAGCATGCAATGCCTAAACCAGAGGTCTTCAAACTTGGCAGCTTTAAGACTCGTGGACTTCAACTCCCAGAATTCTCCAGCCAGTTATGCTGGCTGGAGAATTCTGGGAGTTGAAGTCCACAAGTTTTAAAGTCCACAAGTCTTAAAGCTGCCAAGTTTGAAGACCTCTGGCCTAAACTCATTGGGACCAACTGGGTTTATTTCCGCTCACTTTTGTTTGGGCTAACGTTGGGCGTTGCACCCGAGAGACTGGACCAGGGAGACTTGCATCTGAGAAAGGGAGCTTACATGGCAGCATTCTAAATTTTCATGTCCTGGAGGTTGAAAATCTCGGTGTTGACAACCGTTTTCTGCTCATCAAATCCTTTGTAGGCTGACTCAAGTCAGGTGGACCCGATACAATCCTACATATATTGATCCAGAAGTGAATAAAGAAAGTTACCGTAAATCTCCAGAGGAAATGTCAGAGGAGGAAAAAAATAAACGGCAGTTGAAAACAATCCAGCCAGTAAAAGCCACCGAATCCAGCATCACCAGTTCTGTGTTTTATGATCCCGCGATCAGGTTTGGTTTTTTTTTTAAATTTTAATACTAATTAATATTAAAAATTACATTTATAATGATACAAACTAAAAATAAAAAAGTGGTGCAGGAAAAATTATTTAAAAATAGAAAAAGAATAAAAAATAAATAAAATAAAATAATTTATTCAAAAGATAAAAATACATAATTCAAAATAAATTGATAGAGACAAAACTAAACAAGAACATTAAAAAAGTGAAATAAAAAGGTCAAAAAACAAAAACCCCTCCTAATTAAATACTGACAAATTGTTTGCAGCAAGTTCAAAATTTATAAGCTTCTACATCTATTTGCAATACAATTGACCTGTCATACTTTATATATTTGAAAGAAAAAATAGTTAACAGGTTAAACAACAAAAAGTTAGAATTCAGAGCCTTCTGTTAATAGTCTGTTTCCTATAAATTACTTGTAGAAAGTTTACAACAGTTTATTTACCACAAATTACCCCAATCATTATCCCTGATTTGTCCAGGATCAAATATCCCCATATGGTTCTTAATAATGAAACTTTTCCTTAGGTTTTTAATTGGGAATTTTCCCAACAATTGCATCTCATTTCCAAAGTTCATTAGTCTCTGTTGCAAATGTCTCTGTAGAATTCATTGTTGAAAAATTCTCCTTAAAAACACAGCATTTCTCTTGCCAAGAAAGTCCAGTCCATCCTTCATCAATTCCATATTTCTGAATTTTTAGTATTCATATTCCTTTTAATCTTTTGTGGCAGATGTGCATTTTTCAAACCAAGTGCTTTCTTTTTCACATCTGACAGAAGCAGCTCAGGTTCCAAATCAGATTCCAATTCATCATGTTGCAAATCAATCCAATTATTATTTCCTACTTTTGAATATTATGTTGAATTTGCACAGCCATTGTTGATCCATCCAATTGTTTGTTTATGTTTTCAAATAATATCTATAAGTTGGAGAGTATTAGTTACTTAATATGTTATGGAATCATACTTAGATGATTGAGTACTACAAGTAGTCCTTAACTTATGACAATTGGGATCAGAATTTCCATTGCAAAGGAAGGAGGTTGTTAAGTGAATCGCATCTGATTTATGACCTTTTTGCCATGGTGTTTAGCCAAACCATTGCAGTTCTTAAATGCACCACGTTGTCATTAAGTGAATCCAGATTTCCACTCTGATTGTTGGAAGCCAGATGGGAACATTGGAAATGGTGATCATATGACCCTGGAACACTGTAACTGTAATAAATACATAGTGGTTGCCAAGTGCCCAAATTTTGATTATGTGATAAAGGAGGAGGAGGCAGTACAACAGTCATCAGTCTGAGGACTGGCCACAAGTCACTTTTTTCAGTGTCATCATAACTTCAAATATCATTAAACGGATGGTTTCAGTTGAAGACTATCACACTTCTGTTTTGTCATTACAGCAGATTCATTAACATGATGATGAAAGGAAGCAATAAAATTTTGGCACGTACCCTCATGAATCAGGTACAATTTATGTTTCACATGCTTTTCCTTGATTATTGCCCATATGGGAAGGAAATAATATCCCTATTTCATGGTTATATTAAAAAGTGCTTATCCTTCTTTTAATAATCTATTGCATATTCAGTTATTTCCTCGGTTTGCTTATTACCAAATGTCAAAAGAATCATAAATTATATGTAGGTCCCTGATAATGCACCATATTTTTAAACCTGCCTTTCAGAATTATTGTGGAAGCAGGGTCGGAATTTTTCTAAGGCCTTTTTAATTTTCTTTTTTTAAAATAATTTTTATTGCTTTTAAAAGAAAACAAAAAGACAAAAGTAACAAAAAACAAAGATACAGTACATTATCAAAAAAAGCCATAACAAGTGCTTAAAAAGTAAGAGAAAGAATACAGAAACAAATAGAATGTACTGTACAATTGTACAGTATATATAATTATCTAAAAAAAACATATAAGTGTATGCATGTGTGTCACTGTATATTCATTCTAATTTATAATTATGCTTTTTAAGGCCATTTTGATAGACAGTATAATTGTAGAAGTCAATAGCTTTGAGAACTGAGAAAATCTTTGTTACATCTAGTAGCCAAGGAGAGGTTGGGGTTTTGATCTTTGAATCTTTCTCAAATGTCATGGATTTGTAAGTTGCATACCCTTGCAAAACAAGATGTGTTTTGTAACACTGATTAGTGTCCATCTGCATATAGAAATTAGTTCCATGTTGAATAAATTGTATTGCTGAGTGAGCAATCCTTCCTTTATTTTTGTTTGTGATTAAGACTTTAGAGGCCATTAAAAGGAAGCAACTTGCGAAATATCATGAAGCAGATGAGGAAATGAAAGAAAAAATTGAGTGCAACCCTTACAAAATCTTCCATCAAGCAATCGAAAACTGCCAACCTGTAATTGGGCTTTCAGGTATCATAAGAGGAGGTAAAAAGTATCAGGTAAGGTATAAATAAAGAATGTCGAGTTAACATAATGCATTGAGTTTTTAAAACCATTATTTAGTGACACTGCCACAATGACCAACTTTGCACATAATACATAGTTATAAATACCAGCTTATAAACCACAATCACCTATCCAGCCAAACCAAGCCAAGCCAAAACCAAACAATATGATGGTTTATAAAATAGGTAATGAGTCCTTTAAAGAACTAACACTATGGTGTCAGGCACATCTAATTTCCTCCAACTCAACCAAGTTGGGTTTGCATGTTTTGTAACTTAAATATGAAATTAGATCAATAATATAAAAATTCATGGTTCCATTGGGATTCAAAATACTTCTGTTTCCATCTATGGATTGGCAGGTTTGCTGCTGTCAGAAAAAGCAATACTACACTGAATTTGTGCTACATAAATTTTATTGAGACAAAAGTTTACTTGCAATTTTTTTCTTTTGAGTTGCCTTAAAATTGCATGGCATCATTTTCAGTGGACCCAGATTCTTGCATACATTTCTGTATATTTATATATAAGACAAAAAAATTTCTGAGAATTTCCTCTTGCATTTTGAAAAGTTCATAACATTGCGGAAGACAGTCTTCATCCACTTTAGTTCTAAGTTGAGATCCCAGAATTGTTGCACTGATTTATAGGGCCACCCTGATGTTGCTTTGCAACATGTTTTGTATCTGGGTGGCATACCAAAAGCAAACCATAACACATGCAAAATATTCACACAGCATTAAATACTTTTTGTAACAGAACTCTTGATTTCAACATTTTTTTGAAGACAAATATGTAGGTTTGTTGTAAATTTAATTAGCATGCTATGATAGTAAAGTATATTGAACCCCGCCTTTTGCTTTTTTCAGGTACCAACTCCTTTAAAGATTAGTCGGCGGAGATTCTTAGCCATGAAGTGGATGATCACAGAATGCAGAGAAAACAAGCACAGGCGAACATTACTGCCTGAAAAGCTCTCAAATGAGCTGCTGGAAGCCTCCAACAATAATGGCAACGTGATAAAAAAAAAGCATGAGTTGCACAAAATGGCAGAAGCTAACCGGGCCTTTGCTCATTATCGATGGGCGTAAAGAATGTGCTGTTGGATCCAGTGTATGATGACTTAAGGCTTTTGCTACCAGAAAAGACAACTTTTCGTTGTTCTAATTCCATTTGCTTTTCTTTGCATATCACTAATCTGAGCAGAAAATTGCCTGCTTCTCATTCAACTCTCATCAAAGAATATGAGCTGAAGAAAATCAGGGTCCCCCTTTTCAAGCTCACATAGGGAGTGGTTTTGAGTATGTCACATCCCAAATGATATAAATACAAATCATTGTTTATTTTCAACTCTTGTGTTCATCAATTTCCATTCATGTTTTGGAAAACTAACAAGCAGGTGATTGAAGGCGATCAGAGCTGAAAAATAGTAAAAATGGAAACTTTCTGTTTTGTTCCTTGTATATCTCGTGAAGAAAAACCTTAATATTGTATGTTCTTTGCTGAAAATAACATGAATGAGAGATCAGTAGAATGAATGTCTCTGTTTACATATATGTTATGGGCAGAATAAATGACACAATTTTTATCCTTAAAATACAATGAGTGGTGGGGGGTTGCCAAAAGTCTTATCTGTCTGCATCCAGTATAATAATTACTATATAGTTTATTCTACCTCATTTCTATTTAAATAACATGTACTGATTTTAAATTATAAACCCCTTATCTACAACACACGAATTCTACTTGATTGAAATATTTCAAGCTTGCTGATACCTTCTGGAGATAGCAAGCAAGAATGCCAAACATTTTAATATTTCCATTTATTAATAAAATATATACAACAGATGACCTAAACCTGGTGTAGGAATTACAGCAATAATGAACTTCTTTAAAAGAAGAAAATAAATTACTAGATTAAAACCCTTTTTATTTTTAGGTAACATTAATTTGCTTGGCTGCATTTAGGGGTGATCTGATTTTTTAATCTGTATCTGAGTGGTTTCAGGGGCATCAGCGATACCTAAAGATAAATTATCAAACTGAATTTAAAGTATTATTAGCAACAGAATTGGTTAGATGGAACTAAAAATAGTATTTGGGGGAAAATAATTTGCCTCTGGTAAAAATCATCAGTCACCAAGTCCAGAAGTAAGTTTCTTATACATTCAAAACCCCAGAAATCTCTCTCAGGGTTGGACATAACTTTGTTCCATGGTCAGCCAGTGTAATAGGTGGTCTGAAGTGGTAAATTCCCATTCCCGTAAAAGAAAACTCCAACTTTTACCACAAAGTATATTGTTTTCCTTGAATTAAAAATGGCAAACAGAAATGTGCCTTTATGGGCTATCTTGGAATTATCACATTTAGTCCTTTTCAAAAATTGGAAGATGCTGAGTTTCTAGGTTTTTTTAAGTATAGAATCCCCCCATCTTCTCTACTAGCTACTAAGGATATGACAATTGTGTTGTGAATTTATCAATGATAACTTAATTTGGGGAATGGGGAGCCAAGCTTAAAAATTTCAAGGCAATTCTTTACTTGGAGAATCTAGATCAGGGGTGTCAAACTTGCGTCGTCACGTGACATATCGCAACCTTTTTCCCTCTTCGCTAAAATGGGGGTGGGCGTGGCCAGCGTGTGACACATCTGGCCCACAGGCCGTGAGTTTGACACCCCTGAACTAGATGAAGGATGAAGTGTATACCATGAATCATTAAATAGGGCCAGAGAGTCATCATCTGAGGAGTTGCATTGTAAGCACCAGTGTTCATTGTGGAAAAAGCATATAATTGTTACTATAAATATGTTGCTGCATTAACCTTTTCCTGCAGGCATTTCATGTGTGATTGATTAAATATGTGCCATCTAGTTAGTTTCAGCTCTTGGTAGCTACATAAATTTTCCCTGTATTTGTTCCTAACCTGGTTCTTCAGGTTTTCCAGCAATGCATTCACTGTCACTGTAACTAAGTGGACTTTGCTGAGTGGTGGTCGTTTTCTCCGTCCTATCTTTCCCAGCATTGGTGCCTTCTCCAGAACTAGGTTTTTGCACAATTTGTCCAAACTAGAATTATTTGATTGTGATCATGCATGCTTCATATAGGATAGGATAGGATAGGATAGGATAGGATAGGATAGGATAGGATAGGATAGGATAGAATAGAATAGAATAGAATAGAATAGAATAGAATTCTTTATTGGCCAAGTGTGATTGGACACACAAGGAATATGGAATTATATGAGAACTCTCGGTTGATTTATTCGATAATCCATTGGTTTTTGGCTATGATATTCTCAGAAATTATCTCCAATAACCAACCTTCAAAAGTGTCTATGTTCTGCTTTTTTCCTTTTTTCCCTAAAGTCACAGGGAATAGCATTGCTGCACTATTCTGTAGTATTGACACATCACAGCATCTGAATATCTTTTCCAATATCTTCATGGTTTGCTCTAGTCTACAATCTATTTCTTATTTTTTGTTTATTTTTTTTGGCTGATCCTAAAAGGCAGAAGAAGATACCTTCCGTATCAGTCAATTCTAAGGTTGATTGTCCTACCTATTGTCATTAGCTTGGTATTCTTTATATTTTAGTTCCAGATTCCTACTGTGCTCCTTGACCCTTATTGCTAGAGCTTGTAGATCCTTTGCATTTTTCCTAATCAGAATAGTATTATTAGCATAGTGGAGGTTATTTATGTCTTTCTCGAGTGTTAAAAACATATATAGTATTTTCCAATCTAGCTTCCCTCAATAAATATTCAACATGTAGGTTGAATAAATAAAACAGGAATATGCAGATTTGCCTCGCTCTTTTGCCAGTCTAGAGCATCTGTTTCACCATGTTCAGACCATTTTGTGGCTTATTGATCTGTGAACAGGTTTCTCATGAGGACAGTGAAATGTTTTGGGAGTCCTATTTTTCTAAGCTCATTGCATAGCTTGGCACAATCAGCAGACTCAACGGCCTTTCTTTAATCAGTGGAAATACATACTAATTGCTTTTCAGTGTGCTTTGCCTTTCTCAATTATGCAGAGTACATGAGGAATAATGTCTTGTATTCCTTGGCCTTTTCTAAAGCCAGCTTGAATATCTGGCATCTATTTTTCATGTAGAACTCTATATTGGATGTTTTTAAGTGTTATTTCTATAGCATATCAAATTAGGGATAGTGTATAATAATTGCACGCTGTTAAATCCCCTTTGCTATTGGAATGTAAACTGACCACTTCCAGTCTCCTAGGCATTATGTCAGTTTTCAGATCTGCTGGCATAGCTTTATTTTCTGATTACTTCCCATATTTCTGTCACAATTTCATATGTACACAACCCTATTCTCCCTTTGAAGAGTAAATATCCTCACAATTTTAGTCAGCCTTTGTTCTTTTCTTGATAGTGATAGAGACATAAATGTGTGAAGTGACTATGCTGAAACCCTATTAATGTGATTTGCAAAAATACAGATGTGTCTTACTTAGGAATGGATATCCATTTATCTTTGGAATACAGTCTGATTGTCCTGACATGATTGAACTAGCCCATAATCCAGTTGTATCTATTCAGCAACATACCATGTATTAATTGGATACTTTCTGATCCTTTAATTTTTCCACATATAGAACAGAGCGAGGATGAGTTGTATGATGTTTTGAGAATGATAAAGATTATAAAACTAGTGAATTGATAAATGTTGCTCTACATACCGATACCCTTATATCAAGTATTTCCATGGCAAAACTGACTACTTTCCAAAGATTGACATACCACTAACGTAAGGTTGACATACCACTATATATGAGTTGTCAGTTCAACTCTTTGTAAGTACAGTATTCTTGGAGAAACCTTCATGATGATGTAGAAAGACAAAATGAATAAACTGAAAGGCTAGAATCTTGAATAATAAGCACTTCAGGTAGCAACATGTTTTGCTGATTCCATATAGGATATTAATTATGGTTTCTGTCTGATGAAAGGTCATCTCATGCCTCTAGCTTAATGATTATTCCCTGATTTAATTTGGTCTAGAATAAAAAAAAGAATGGAGGCAGAAGTGTAAAATATTTTATAAAAGTTCCAAACAGAACCAATTCTCTTAAGATAAATTTACAGTACATTGGTTTAAAGTATTGTTGGAGAGAAATGTTATGAAATAAATTGTTACCTATTCCCCAAAAGAGCTAATTCTGCTGTGGCATCTTCTGGAGGCAGAAGATGCCACCTTAGCTAAAATCTGACCTAGCTTGGAAGGAAGCTGAAGGCTGCAAGCGGAAAATATTTCCATAGTATTTTCCTATACTTGGAGAAAGATTAAAGTACCCAATGATAGCCTCTTTTTTTAAAAAAAAGTGCTGTTGCAGTGTCAGATAGAAACCAGAGCTATCCTTCTGAAGCCTCAAGGATTCATGGGCAGTAGCTTCTTAGCGCATACTCTGATGGACTTCCACAATCTGGTGCCCATCAGATGCTTTGGATTTGAACTTCCATAGGGTTAAAATTCACACCTGGAAGGTATTGTGTTGAAGAAACCCACATTAATAAAAATATTTGCCCCTTTATTCAAGGAGAGAACTCTGTAGCCTTTAAGGAATCTAAATTGCATGTTTAATTACCATGTTTAATTAAGTTTTGCTTAAGGGGGAGGTGGAAAAGGGAGAGAGAAACTCTCCTTTCTCATCCTATTTTTTCCCCATAAAATAATCCTTTTTATTGTGATAGATTTTGCATTTAGCTGGGAAAGGATTACCGTAACTATCAAAGTAGCCCTTCTTGGATTATGCCATTTTATATGCTGGTTGGAAGTGATAAGGTTGTCCATCAAAATCTCCCTTATTATGCAATATTAACCACTCCTTGTCAGACTAGTTTCCTATAGTTGAGGAGAAAAGAAACATTTTGATTTCAGACTAGTCTTGTCTGGGCACTGCTTGGATTTCAGAGTGATTAATAGTTCCATTGGAGAAAGCTTGGTTACAAAGAAGCAAATAACACTTGAGCTTTGATCACAGAATTATTTTCCTTTTTCAAAAAAGGATAAACAGGCCAGTTACCAAATATTAAGCGAAACAAGCTTTGCCAATACAGAACAGAAAGAGTTGGCATTTCTTTGAAGTTTATGTGAAATTATTCCTAGGCTAGTTTTTAAAACCTGCCATTTATGTTGCTAAATGGAAAATAAGGGAGAGAAAACCTCCCTTTGTAAAATACTAGCCTAGCCTGCAAAAGGACATAATACAAGCCAGTATTTAGTGCAATACAACAGGAGCAGCAGTGGCCAAGTATCTGCTACTTTCTTTTTTTTAAGTGTTCTCTCAGCTCCTCAGTTTTAGGCAGCAGTTCCTTGGCACAAAGGAGCAGGGCACATGTTCTATAACAAAAGGGCTAGGAATTTAAAAAAAAAAAAACCATATAAGTTGCAGCTTTGGTGTAAAGTTTGCTGGTGAAAATG